CCGCCGGCCCAGTCATTCAGATGTAGATGGTCGTCGTAATGCCTACCCGCATCACGGGCCTCTGACGGGAGTAGCCGAAGGTAATGCCTGGGAGGATGAAGTGTCACCGGCGCCTAATACCGTTTCACTTCGTAATTTAGACCCGCAGCCGTTGGAGGATTTCGAGCAGCGCTGGAAATGAGAAACAGCGCAACAGAGCCCGAAAGTTGTGGAGATGCAAGTGGCGGGGCAGGCCACGTTGCCGTATACTTGTAGGGTTAGAAGGCTCGGTGTTATTACCCAATACTACATGGCATAACTGGAATCTGCAATTTATTACAGCACCGAAAGTTGGCAAAGCGATGAGTGAATAGCAATGGGAGGCCATACAGTGCCATGTTGACAGATGAATGAAGTGGGGTTTCAGCAGACTTGCATCTCAAAGGAAGACTTTCGGGGAGAGGTGGTACTTGCTTTGGACAAGATCGCAATCTGCGCCAAGTCGCACCAAATGTAGTGCATTCCATTACATTTCTCCGCGTTACGCGATATTCTTAGTGGCCGTCGAAGAGGATCCTCGCATTGCGCAATGCTCTGGTGATGACGCATTATATCCTTGCTTCGTGGCCCGCAGCCCCAGTTGCTAGACGGTTGTGACAAGACTGCATAAAGACGCCGGTAGTCATGATACCCGCCTTGATATGCAGAAGTGTAGCTGCCTTACTGGGAACGACTTCTTCACAGTTGGGCTGAAACGATGCCGGGGCATATCGGACACTTTGGGGCGCGCAACCCTTTGACACTTGGAAAGACAACTAAAGAAATTCGAAAGGGCCTCTTGATGATCTGTGTGAAGATGTTTGAGTGTAAAAAGAGTACGATACCTGTAATCGCTGTTCAACTACCTCGGTAGCGCTCAGATATGTGAGAACGATATCTAGCACATTCCCTCAGTCCACGTGACATCGCGTTCAGAAGCACCATGATTGGGTCGGAGGGCCCATCCGTACCAACAGCACTACTCCTGCACCAGCACTATTCCGTACAAGAAGTCTGGCACAAACCTGCTTATGCAAGTCAGTCACTTTCACTCAGGGTCATCCCGCTCGACGATGCACCGAACTTAGACTATCACTGTTCATCGATCCTTCCATCGACGTTAAACTAACTACAGATAGCACCGGGTGGACTACACGTTCTGTACATGAGTATGGATCGCTTGGCGATGGGGGTATAGACCGTTTGTAAGCTTGCTTCTTCCATGCGAAAAGATAGCACCGGGAGGACCACACGTCCTGTACATGAGTACATATCGCTTAGCGTTGGGGGTATACACCGTATGTATCCTTGCTTCTTCAACGGGGAGAATTGCCGGACCCTTGACTGGGTCGACTAGAAACGAGCTAACCCATTCTCCGGCCCAAGGTTTCGCTTCACGATCCCAGTAGTGCGACTCATCCGGGCTCGACCGCATAAACTAAGAGATATCGGGTTGTACATGCCAGTGGGCTCCGCATCAGGAGAGGAATACCTAGATACTCGACCACCCGATCAACATGTGGAACTGAATCAAGTTTTTAGATATGAGATATGCAGAAAAGAAGCACGTCCGGTAATGCGGGGTCATGTAGACAACCAATTGGTGTGTTCAGCCTACTTCTGGGCAAAAGGGTTTGTTTGCAATTGGTCACAGTATCATAGCCAGTGCACAATCAGGTTCTCTGCCCAAACAATTCTCGCAACCACAAGTCTGTGCTACAGATTGACTCCACGTATATAAAACAGCAATCCAAACGAATGTACGCAGCATATCTCTTTGCGAAGGTTGTTCCGATATGTATGTAGTTCTCGAGACAGAGAGTGGTTATCTTCGACAAGGAAGTGGACAGATCGAGTGCTATGACCCTGCAACATTGTAAGACGGGTACTTCACCCGTAAAGCACTAAAGCAACGCCCACATCTCAGCCCATGAAAGAATATATCAAGGAATCTGTATCAAAACTGGCATGGGATCGATCTTTGTGTGATCGTCGCGACTGTCCATAAACCGGTGGAAGACCTCATCAGACCGGGCGCTTCGAAACAGATATGGGGGCCACTTTTGGGAGAGCTCCGTGGAGTAACGATGCCACATATATATATGCATCGACATGTTAAATGTAGGACGATGTTGCTAGACATCAAGCGAGGCGCATGTGGTCGGAGATCGAAGCTATGAGAGCCTTCTTTTTTTGCACAGGCTAGGCCCAAAGCGCCGCTAGCTTACCCCACCACAGGATTCAAACGAGAAGAGCAAAGGAGATTTACACCGAAACCAATGAACGACCTTTGTGTTTTCGCTTACTTGCCAGTTTCGGACCTTCTCTTCCGCTGCCCAACATCTCTGGACCCTGCGCTGTTGCGATTCTAGAATCTGTTCGTGCACAGGTGAGAGCCGCCACCAGTAGCTTCAACTAGCTCGCATCGGAACCGTGGAATCATACCTTTACTACACGTTTGACACTTAAAGCCACAACTTCGCCACGCACCTGCCTGCCAGGACTTCCGCCTGCTCTTTACTTTTTGGCGGCATTGACGCCGGCCGCGCCACCTCGAAGGCTACCATGGGACTCCTCGATCTTCCACCAGAACTTCTTGACCTGATCATTGACCGTACCGCACCTGATGGTCTTGAAAGCTTCGTACTCTCATGTAAGACTGTGTATGGACGCGCTGCGTCCCAGATCCGACAGCACAATGACATGCGCAAGACTTGGAGCCACACGACTAACATGAGCCGGACTCGTCGCGGTGACACATTGGCTATCCTGCACGACATCTCTCGCGATCCGATCATTGCTGAGTACATTGAGACTCTTTCTCTCTGGGATCACCGGCAAGACGATGAAATGCCGGAGGATACCACCCCGCACAGTTTCCGCGAAGATGAGCAGGAGATGGAAAATATCAGAGATCTGCTGCGGCGCGCCGAATATTACGCCGATGCTGACGAGGAAGAGTGGTGGGGTCGCATTCTGGAAGAAGACAGAGCGGGCGACCAGTCGAATATGGACAAGTTGTATGCGACCGTCGCTTTGTTAAGTCTTCTACCCAACCTGAAGACGCTGCAACTGCCTGATAGGTGGCATGAGGTCAGGGAAGGTGAGGGCGCCGAGGCTCTTGTTTCTAATGTGCAGTCGCTTGTCGCCATGTCCAATGCAGATGGGCACCGGCAGAAGCCCCTGGCTCGGCTCGAGACTTTGTTACCGTTCGTGGAGGAAGGGTATGACGTCAGAGTTGGCTTGCAATGTCTCGCGCCTTTCATGACTCTCAATAGTATACGAAACATCTACGCTGTCAGCTGCGTTGCGGTTGACGAGGATTGGGGAGGTGTTCCCTTCAACTGGCTCAACCCAAATGTCAAATCTCCCTTGACCCGTGTCGAATTCGCCTACTGTTGCATGGACGCTACGGGACTCTCGGCCTTCCTCACAAACACACCAGCTCTCCAAGTCTTCAAGTACTCACACCAAACAAAATGGGATGGTCTTGAACACGATTGGAATGCGGGCGAAATGATCGAGACCCTGGCGAACTACAACAGCGATACTATTGTTGACCTCGCCATCACCATTGACGAGCTGCATGGAGAGATTGTAAACGGTCTTTCCTCGTTCCTGCGCTTTACGAGATTGCAAAAGCTGGAGGTGGACGTTGAATGCTTCTGTGGACCGCCACTGGAGAGCGGACAGCGCCAGGGCCGTGATGCGCATATTCCAACTGGTGCGCGGACGTGGGGGCATATCGACATCCCCTGCATGGGCGACATGCTTCCGGAGAGTATGAGAGAGCTGCATGTCAACACAAACTTCCCAGAGCCGTCTGAAGAGTCCCTCAGGGCTCTGTTCAAGAACATTGTGGTGCGACGTAAAGACAAGCTCATCAACTTACATACGGCGATCATCCGACAGTACGGGTCATCCAGTGCGGGAAAGATTGCCGAGAGCCATGATGTCATTTTGGAAGTATTCGGCGCCGATGGTGACAACCTACTCCCAAGGTCCATGATGCCACTGTGGAAGAGAGAATTCAACAGTCGCGTCGGCGGGATCGTATTCACAAATAGCTAAAGCGAGGACCTGACACCAACTGGAACATCGCAACCTTCCAGGTGCGCTGGTAGGCTGGTTTCCGGATCAGAAGACGCGGGTTTCGACAAGTGCGGTGTTGGTGTAGAACGCGATGCTGGAAGCGAGGCGCTTGTGTGTAGGCAGTGGTGATTTTGGGAAATACCAGAAGTTATGGCTAGCTATCGCTGATTCAGAATTCTTTGTACATGTATCAACAAAAAGTCACTTAATCTGGAAAGCAATGAGAATGTAAGAACGACTTTCCAGTGATCGCGAATGTTGTGATGGCCCTGCATAGTCAGCATGATAGCGCGAGTCACGATTGCGTCATACTAGCGCCCTCTAACCAGCCACCTCGCGCATTGACAAGATCATCGCATACGAAAGCAGGATCGAAACTTATTACATTCAACACATCAGCAGCTACGACCTTGCTAAGCTCGCAGCCATGGCAGTTGCGTGCTCATTCCGAACTGAACACGTCGCGCGAGCACCGGCCAGCACGACCCATCCTTGTTACAGCATACAGGAACAATAATCACAGCCCCACTACCTTTTATCAGTGGTATGATGAAAGCCGACCAAGAGGCTCAAACGTCTATCAATTTATCTGCTCAGAGAACTCAGATGGCGCGAGGCGCATGACTTCACCCAACGGCAGCTTTGGATTAGTAATGGCCACAGCCCACTGAGACAGTAACACAATGTACAGCACGTGAACGATGCGAATATTGGTCTAGAGATGCGTTCAGTCAATGCGTTCATGACCAATGTCTCTCGCTCGACAGGTTGACCAAAGTATGGTTCACGCTGACTCACAGAACTTCGAACAGTCATGCACTCATTCTTCAAAACCTGCGTTTCCTGCCCTTGTTCCATCATCTAACAATCCCACCCCATCAAATTCGAATATGAAAGTACCACTCGAAATACTGCGATGGATCTTGGAACTCGCTTCCGCTTCCTATACCCGTCACGAGTTCTTTCAGCTGAGGCTTACCAGTCGTACGTTTACTATACTCGGCGAACCTCACCATATAGCTAACTTCATATAGATCTAATCGACGATGAGGTGTTGTCAACGTTCTTCACTGATCACGGCCTGGTGTCATTCCGATTCGTTCCTTACCGCGACCCCGCCTTCAGTCGTGAACGTGTTCGCTATCCTCGCTTCGACAGCGTTCCGTTGAACCTTCGCTACGCATACTTCCAACATCGTGTAAAAAGACAGGGCGCCAAACGTAGCCTATTTGCACATCTCTTCATTCCGGTGTATAAGGCTGAGCTCAAAAGGCTGGGGATATCAGAACAAGACCATGCAGTTAGACGTAAGAAACTGGGAACCTGGATAAGCTGGTGCATGCACGAGTACTGGAAGGAGAGCTGGGTCGTTGCACACGCGAACTCAGCGGATGGAGCGAAGCATTTGCCACACTACGACGGGTATACAGTGGATGACGACCCCGAAACGCGCGTCGAGAACGATCGCAAGTTCCTGAGGATCTGTTGTGCCATCGATGTCGAAGATGAAAACACGATACTCGAGCTATTTGCAGGCTTTCGCAGCAGCGTAGACGATTTAAATTACTGTTTTGGTACGACCCTTCTTGGCTTTGCAATTTGTACCGGACGTCAAAACGTGCTCCGGCTACTCCTACGGTCAGTAAAAGACATAAAACAGAAACGGCTGTACACATACCTCTCTATCGCCGTCCTCGAGGTCAGTCAGCGCAAGGACATAATCGACATCTTGTTGAATCACTGCACCCAGCACATGAAAGATAAAGCAGGAGGCAACGCCTTCCTCAGAAAAGACGTAGCAAGACGGATCCTCGTTCAAGACCTCCTCATCGCCGCCACCACAAAAGGCAACCAGCGCGTCTTCAATGCTGTATATGAATGGATGGAGAGCATACCGAACTTCTACGGTAAACTTTCCATATTCGAGGGATTCTTTGCCCGAACACTCAAAGATAAGACATTTTGCAACTTCTTTCCCCCTCTTAATACTCTATCAACGAGTAGTAACAAAGCGCTGGGTACATTAGCTATAATACCTGCGCATCACTTCGGTGTAGCATACCAGCGGCGCCTTCAAAGGAAGTTCACCCATGTGGTCCGTGACGAAGGCTGGATATATGTATGTTCCAGAGGTGCGAAGCGCACATGGGCAGTCGTTTGGACTGTGAGCCGCGTTAGCATATCAAATAGGTCTATTTTCTTATCGAGCCCGCTGTTCGTGGCAGTAAAAAATGGGTGGCTGGATTGGGTTGATAGGCTGCTGTATGCTGGCGCTGATCCTGGGCTTGAGGAAGGTGGCGTAGGCTTGCTGGACCTTGCACTGAAGGGCCAATGGGGGAGAGAGAATGTCCGCAGGAGGAAAGAGGTCGCACAGCTGATGTATGCGCATGGTTGGAGGTATAGGGATTGGAAGTGGGTGAGGTGCGGAGATGCTCAGGTCTAGGTTGAACAGCGAATAACTACTATCAAACCTACCTCGGTTCCTTTCCATACTCTTCAAACATCCCCACAGCATCAACTATCCAAGATCGTATCCGCAATATCGACCCGACCAGTTTCTCGCGCCAGCTGCACAGCAGTCTTCCCCTTCTTATCTTCCACATCAATATCCGCTCCCTTAGCCAACAAGCACTGCACTATCTCCAAGCGGCCCGTCAAAGCAGCGATAGCCAATGCAGTCATACCTTCCCGACCTTGACTTCTGTGGGCGCGGCTACATCTGCGGTCAATATCCTCTTTGATCTCGTCTTCGGTAAGATTGTCTAGGAGGGTCTTCATGACTGGCATCCGACCGATCTCGGCAGCGACGTGTAGAGCAGTCATGCCAAAGTCTTCGTACCGCATTCGCGCACCACGCTTGAGTAGCTTACCAAGACTATCGATATCGACACCGCTTTCTTGGCCCGCGTTGTGCAACATGAGGTTCAGCGCGATGCCTTCTTCAATGGCGCCCCTGTCGAAACGAAAGTTCGGTCGTGCTAGGAATACCATGAGAGTGTGGATATTGGGGTGCTTGACTGCCCATTCCAGCGGTCTTGGATTGTTGACAAGGGCTGGGAAGTTCATAGTCTTTTCGCTGAGTAACAGTTCTGTCATCCGGGGGCTTCTGCGGAAGAGTGCGTTGCTCAGAGCGTTGCGAAGATTTATCTGATTGTGTCTGATCATTTCGCGCACGACCTCGTAGTCTAGTATCTCCTGGAGCATGCGCGGTTCGTGATGCCATGTTGCGTATTCGATGAGGTGGGCAGCCTTCTCCTGCATATTGACCGTTGTCAGGATGTGTTTCAGCAGCTGGTATTCACCGGAATCTATGATGGCTTCAGCGTATGACGTTTTGTTCCATGGGAAAAGGTCGCCGGACGATTTTACGAACACGAAGTTGATGGCGCCGTCGAGCATTTCTGATATACCGGTGCAGACTGCGTTCCACAATACCGCCTCGATTTGTTCTTTCGTTAGATGTATATCAGTGGGGCCATGTCTCGAATGGATCGGATCTGCTATTTCCACACTGGAACCAGCCGCGAGGATACATGAGAAACTTCCAGAGAACTCGAAGGTTGTAGCGAGAAATTTGGCCGTCTGAATATGGTTATGCAAGATCGCGACATCGACCGGTGCTAGCATCTGGGCGTCTAGTGATGACATGTCCTCTACCAGCAACCAATACGAGGAGGGGGCCTCGATGAGCTTGTCGAGACCAAAGAGGGCGCATACGTGGAGGAGTGTTGTATGATGTTTACGAACATCATGATACGGGGAGATGCCGTAATTCCAGGTCATGAACATGATCCACCACTTCTCCAGGACTATTGGTTCAGGGCAAAAGGTCGCCTCGATCAATGCCACCAAGTCTTGCGGGATGTCCTTCAGAAGTTTGATATGTTCAGCCCAGTGATTTACTGCATACTTCAAGTCGGTAGGGACTTGCGAGACCCAAATAGATTCGTCGTTTTCCAGATCTGCCATATCGATCTGAGCAAGGCCAGCGCCGATTAACTCTAGGCATTGTCGAGCAAGCTTGGCATTGTTGGCCTCCGCAAGACTTGACTCTGAGAGCGCGAGCCACGCATCGGAATCTGCGAACCCTATGTGCTCGGAACTAATTAGCAGTTCGGTTGGACGAGAGTCGAGGAATTCAAGAACGTGGGTTCGCTGGCTCTCGGGGAACATGGACAGAAGCTGCCCGGTGGTTGGCGGGCAAAGGTAGGCAGCGAGCACCTGCAACACTATAAAACCCATGCGGCTATACTTCTGGCTCAGGCTGCTAAGATGCTCTTCGGCTGTAAGCGAGCCCATAGTGGAAGACATAGACCCGCTCCCAGTGCGCGCATCCAAGTCGACATTCCCGTATTTTGCGACGTCTAGAGGGATGCGGGTGGTGACGAGGAACTTCAGAGTAGGCTGCGTCTCCGGGCAGCCTTCGTACGGGAGCGTAAGATCGAGTAGTTCAAGGATGAGAGCTCTACTCTCTGCGCCACATTCGTCCAAGCCATCCAGCAAACAGTATGTTATTCCCGCGTTGCTCAGCTTTGCAGCCCGTCGTAAAAAGGCCCACATCATTCTGGCCTTGTCGAGGTAGGAAGGTACATAAATGGGATCTTGAAGAAGCCATTCACAAAATTCTTTAGTCAAATCAGGTCTTTGTTGGACAAGCTGATATATCCAGCCGTTTAGCACTGCGCTGGCAGTACTACGTCGACGGTCAGGACGATGACAAAAGAAATACAGGACCTGAGTCTTCTTGGAAGAGTTTGACGACTGGAGACCTTGAAGGTGTTCAACAGCGAAAGAAGCTGCTGAAGTTCTGTCGATCTTAGATCCACCGCATATCTGAATTCGTAGTTGGGCATGAGTGGGCGCAAGCCACTGTGTAAAGATGCCGTCATCTTTTATCCGTTCGCTCTTGCTGTTCTGCCCAAGCGAGCTTTTGATGGCGTCGAAACGGTGGGATGGATCGAATGGTTTCAAAACGCGCTCGGTCTTGTCTTCCAGGCTGAAAATGTCCCTTTGAAGCTGGAGCATGTGAGGATTGTTGAGACGTAAGCAATTCTTAGGTATGAAAGTTGGACGCGCATCCTGTGGCTGGACGTTCTCTGACTGGGCGTTCTCTGTAAGCACATCTTGTGGTGGCATAGTGATTACAAGGTAGTTTCTCACTATCTATCGATCCCCAAGAGCAAGGACAGACGGATACATATACACTCCATCTTGCTGTTTGGGTGTGTATCATCTCGTGTAGCAGTTGCGCTTTGCCATGCGCACGCGTTCCTGACAATTGCGTGTGCAGGTGGGTAGCAAAACACCGAATCCCATCAGATGTCGCCAACTCCTATAGTCGACGAAGATAACACAGTGATACTTGCAGCTTCCACAAAGCTCGCGCTGGCTTGATGTATGCTGTCGGGTGGTAGTCAGGATGTTGTTGTGGCAGTCGCGATCACACCAGAACCCGGACAGGAAGGTCAGCAAACGTCTCACGTGACGGCGCGACAAGCGAGTTGTGGTTTCGGCGCGCGAAGCCGTCGCAATTGGCCGGGAATCATCTGCGCAAAGCAGGATCTGACGCAGGGCGATCCAGTCGAATAGAGGAAACATGCGAGGAAGAAACAAGTATGGGCGGGCAGAGTTGGTCGACTGTTAGGAGCAAGGTTCCGGGTACGAGGTTGAGATGAGGTCAAATTGGGCATTCAGGCGTTGCGCCTCCCGCGGAGCGTTGCGGATGGCTTTTGGCGGCATCACGATGCTGAACAGGAAAGGCGATGCATTGCGACAACATTGATCAGAAAAAGAGCCATGCGGAGAGATCGGCCGAAGATTGAGTGTCGTGATGTCGCGCGGTGCGGGCGGTGGTGTTGAGGTTCAGCCTCCTATTATTGGGCCCCAGCCCCCATAACAAGATGAATAATTGCATCATGGCGTCGTAGTCAACCAGCGCACTACTGTGTCAAATCCCCAAGCGCGCCCTGCTTTTCCCACTTCTCTTTACCTGGGACGGATTTTCGGCACCCTTCAATTGCTTGACTGTCTTGTTCCTTCTCGAGCATTGTGTTGCGTGTTGCTGCACACCAGATTGATCTACCTCCACCCCACAACTAGCGCCGGCATCGTCGGTTCCAGGCCAGGAACTGCTGTTCCCCCAGACGACGGCCCCCCAAACACGCCAAATACGAACACCACCACTTTGCTGCCAGCGCGCATTCTCGCGGCCAGTGTCGCATACTGCTCGACTTCACCATGCCGGCCGTACGCGATCCCCTCAGTGTCATCGCCAACATGGCGCCCCGCGACTCCAGCCTCAGCGCCCGACAGCCTGCCTTCGACGTGCCAGCGATTGTCTTCGATGCGCCCAAGACAGCCCCCATTGCCAAGCGACAGAACGTTATATATGCCCAGCAGGGTATAATACCCACCTACTACAATACCGACGGTCCCGAGCCCGGTACCGTCGTCGGCATCGTGCTAGGCAGCGTCGCCGGCTTTCTCCTGATCTGCTGGCTCATCCAGTCGCTGATGAACACCAACAATAAGACCGGTACGACAACGGCAATGGCCGGAGAGGAAGAGATTGTAGTGCGCAGGCCACGTCGCAATTCACATGGCGGACGCTCGTCGCGACGCCGGTCTGAAGTTCGCGAGATTAGCAGGAGCCCGAGGCGGAACAGTGGACGCTCGCAGATCATTGTTGAGGAGAGGAGGGGCGCGCCACCGAGAGCGAGGAGCATCATCGTGGAGGGACGGCAACGCGTTCCGGGCGATGATGTCGTCGAAGTCATTGAGGAACACGATGAGTACCGCGAGAGGAGAGGCGCCCGGAGAGGCCCGGGATACCGGTAAGTGCTTGAAATGCTATCCTTTGAAGATGTAGATTTACTAATGCATCCAGGTGAACAGATACTAAACAGTAACTCCATCGCGCTTCATACCCTCCACCAAACACCCCACAACCTACCAACATCCTTACGTGCGACCACTACCCACCGTCGCACCACAGATACCCCCAAAATACCCCTTTGCTTCTTTCGCGTTCCTATTTTGCAGTAATTTCACCGATCTACCTTCTTCTCTGTACCATAATACGGGCTCTTCCTTAGCACTTGGCGTTCAAGCGGCGGCATTGAAGGCGACGACATCCAGTTTGAAAGTGAAGGAAAAGGAAAAGGGATATGTTACGTATGACGCATCATGTATAGCGAGACGCGCCTCTGACTTGGACGTATGGGAAATGATTGCAGGACTTCCTAGTTGCGGATGAATAGTCAATATATGATCCATGAGATCGAATTATCAGTAGCCGGCTCGACCTCACCGTCACGACCGGGTCGCTCTTTCCTCGCTCATCTCGAGGTGCCCCACTTTTCCCTGTTTACTACAAACAAACCGCGACACTCACTCCACTACCATACTGTACGCCAACATCAATCTCAAGCGCCCGGGCCCACTGCCGTATGTCGGTCGCGACAAAGGCAAACATTACCTGAGTTCTTCCAGTTGAGACGCACAACTGACATGTCAATAGATGGCTGCGTCTGGACACTTCAGGTTGCTCGACCTCCCGAGGGAGCTGCGCGACATGATCTACGAGTACGCACTCACCGAGAAAGCTGGACTCGTTGTCTTAAAATCTACTCCCTCTCGTCTCCGTGCAGCAGACAACCCTCGAGGCCCCGATCCGAATTCGCTCAAGTTCGTTTGTCGCCAGCTGTACGCCGAGACTAAGGGCCTCGGTTTGAGATACAACAAGTTAACTTTCCCCAGCTCATTCAGCTATGAACTGTTCGACAAGTTTACTAAGAAGCACTGTTCGCCTGCGAATTTCGGACGAGTCGGAAGCGTCGCGATCTTGCAGACGTCATCTGCGAGACTGCACATGGAATTGCAGGCAGCGGATACGATCAGCAAGAGATATCCAGCCCTGTCTGTGGAGGTACGACTTGATTGGCTTTCGGGCCAACATAGTCTCCAGGCTTGGCACTGGGAGGGCAGCGTGGCTCAGTGTGCGATAAGAGGCACGTTTCCTGTTCTTGCCAGTGCAGAGCTCAAGGATAGCGCAGGTCGCTTGGCACAGTATCGCTCTATCCCTCGAGATGGCTTTTGGGCGGATTCGACGGCTGTACAAGTGTTCCCTAAGAGTTTTGACGAGGAAGAACTCAGGCGCACTGATCCCTACTCTGACATTGAAGATGTCGATGGTTGGGTTGCACAGTGTAAACAGTGGTTCCAGGAGGGTTTTTGAGTCGCTGCCAACGCTTCTTGGATATCATGGAGCGTCCATCAGTGAGACGGCGAAAAGGTTCAACTTGGGCTTGTCTTTCAGAAAACATCTCAGAGGCTCCGGCTGCAAGAGTTGATAAGTAGCCATGTCTAGGTTCTAGTGGCTTTCGCGAAGATGGTCGCCGAGTCTAGGAAATGATCAGGGCTCATACTACACAATCCACTCAATATTTCCGCTTGGTTGGACTTCTTCACTCTTCTCGCTGTGACGTCACATATGCAGTCGCTCCTTCCATATGAGTCTCTGTGGCCCGCCAAGCCCCAGAGCAAACGGACTGGTCTCCTAGACAACAACACTGAGACTTTACTTGCCTCTCCGCTTCTCCTCCTCCTCGCACTACTTACTGTCGCCGACACTCAGTATGCGCCTCCCACACTCACAGCCACTCGCCACAGGCGGCTCAGCACCACCGTCGGTCCCAAACCGCCTACTCGCTCTACCGAGAGAACTCCGCGATATAATCTATGAGGGTAAAGTAGCCGCCACGAATAGCTTTTAAAATATCTTGCTAACTTATTACTAGTATGTAGCTCCCTTACTATGCTTTGCCAACGCGGTGCTAAGACATCCTACTATTCGTGCTAACAGCTTGACAGTACGCACTCACCGAAGATAGAGGCCTCCTTATGATCGAGACTCACCCGAAGAGCTTCAGAGGGCATCGACTCTATGAGCACTGGGTCGAATCTAACCGGCTCAAATACGTCTGTCGCCAGCTCTACGACGAAACCAAGGGCCTAGGTCTGAGACTGAACGACCTGGCTTTTCAGTCTGACCGGCAAATCGCAGACTTCCATACATTCGTTACTACGTGCTCGTGGAGTCAGCAGCAATGCATTCGTCAAGTCACACTATGCGACGAATATTCGAGTTCCTCGGGATGGGTGAGCTCATGGAACAAGGGAGTCGAGATATTGGCGCCATATGTCGCATTTTGGCCCGGTATCAAGTTTCACTTATATGTCGGCTCTCTCGGCGAAATCGAATCCGCCGATATGTGGCTTATGAAGGCTGCCGGCCTCCTGTACGCCAGACACATGCACGAGAACCATGCTGTTCTCTCTCCGTTCATGCGCCGGATGGCCGTTCGTCTTGGCTCTGATCGAGAGGAGCCAATCCCGAGTCATATCCGCATATTCCCTGGTACAGGGCCTGGCGATCTTGTCCAACCTGTCTTCAGTGAGGAAGACATACAGAGACATGGCGGAGAGCAGATCAAGCTCTGCATCAAGGAGATTGAAAAGTGGCAGCGAGAGGGTGTCTAGAAACATCGGAGCTTCTATGGTGAGTTAGGTATATTTTTCAATGATTCCTGGGGTTACAGAATGGTTTGCTAATTACATAGACTCCGGTCAGTATCATGAAAGCTCGGAACATGCGCTGTAGGCTGCAATCATCACTTGGATTCGGCTTTTGCAATACAACGATCTGGATGGGCTACCTGGGACGGGAGACGAGTGGCATCAAATTGTCGGAGATGTTTGTGGCATTAGGGAGACGAAGTATTCGAAGGTCTGGGCTGAGATACGAGAACAACACGAAAAGCATTCACGCACCATGAGAAGACTGCAAGTGATTTGATGATAATGTATTGAGGGCATGCACCATATTGGCATCCCATTTTCTGTCCTACATACGGACACTCATACTGAATTACAACTGATAAATTTTAGGCCGTCACAGTCCACTCCAAACGTGAACACATCTTCTCCGTCATAGCCTCATTCCTACAACCAATCATCTAGACCTGGTTCTCGTTGCGCTCGGCAGGCTCCAAGATACCACCGTGGGTACCAGCCTGCTCCGCCTTGCTGAAGTTGCGACCGCCAGGACCCATGTGCAGCCTGTCGGTGTCGACAAGGCCGTCCTTGGCCAAGCTCGACGCATCCCACTTGGCGCTGGTGATAGGGTTGACGTGAATCATGTACATAGTGTCGATCTCCTCGAGCGAGCGGCCCTTAGTCTCAATCATGAAGAAGTAGACGACGAAGAAGAGCAGGACGAGGGAGACGGCGAAGACGAGACCGTAGAAGTAGTCGATGCGGTCGGTGATGAGGGTAGAGCAGAAGGAGATGATGAAGTTGAAGAGCCAGTTGGAGGCGGTGGCGAGACCCATGCAGGTAGCGCGGTAGCGGGCAGGGTACAATTCTCCGACGATGGCCCAGACGAGGGGGCCCCAGGTAGTGGCGAACGCGGCAATGAACAGGCAGGTGAAGACAATCATGACGTTTCCGGCAGCGGGCGTGCTCTGGGGAAGGTTCTGGTCGAGGGCGTAGTGACCGACGAAGGAGTAGATGAAGAGGCACATGGCCATCCAGGCAGCACCGACCATCATGGCCTTTCTGCGGCCGACGTTCTCGACGACCCAGAGACCGAAGATGGTAGCGACGACGTTGACGGTTCCGAGAATGATGGAGGTGACGTATGAGTTGGAGAGGCCGGTGGCGGAGAAGATGGTTGTGCCGTAGTAGAAGAAGTAGTTGGCACCTGTCAACTGCTGACCGGCCTGGAGGACCATACCGAGGAGAGTGCGGTACAGCATGCGGGGGCCGGTGAAGATCTCGTGCCATGGGTGGTCGCCGCCAGCAGACTCAGCCTCGAGCTTCTCCTGGATCTCAGCAATCTCGGCGTCGATGAAGGCGCTATGGGGGTCGACACCGTTGAGACGGGCCATGTTCATACGAGCCTCGTCGACCTTGCCCTTGCGGTATGCGTAGCGGGGAGACTCGGGGAGGAGGAGGATGGTGCTACCAAGGATGATGGCCCAGAGTGCGGAAAGACCGTTGGGAATGCGCCATTGAGCGCTGTTGACGTAGTCCTTCTCCGTGCCGTAGTTGACCATGTATGCGGTCCAGATACCGAGCGTGATGAACAGTTGGTAAGAGGAGACGGTGGCACCACGGATGCGCTTGGGGATCGACTCGGATTGGTACATGGGAACGACGGTAGAGAGAGCTCCGATACCGAGACCGGCAGTGAAGCGGCCCATGGCGAATTGAACCCAGACGTTCTTGCTGGTGATTTCGATAATGACACCGATGATGTAGAAGAAAGCGGAACCGGAGATAGTAAGACGACGACCGAAGGTGTCAGCGAGAGGAGCTGAGCCCAAGCATCCGAAGAGAGTACCGACACTGGGAGATTGTTAGGCGCGTTCATCGCATTGCGAACGAAGTGACTTACGCAAGAAGACCGACAATGGCACCAGAGCGGACAGCAGAGAACTCGTTGTTCTCACCGCCGAAACGCGCCTTGAAGTCGTCCATCTCGAGGAAACCAGAGATCTGTCCAGACTCATATCCGAACATGAATCCACCGATACTGGCACAAGCACCGAGGATAACGGCAATGGCAGGCACACGGCCCTTGGGCTCGAGATCCGCAGCCTGGACGGTCTCAGAGTTTCCCCTGGGAGGTGTGTCCGCAGGAGTGGCGGTGTTGGGTGTTCCCTTCTCGTGGATCTCCTCCTCGGTCGCCTTCTTCTTGAAGAAACGCGACATGACCGTCATGTTGGGCGCGTGGTAATTAGGAATCAATAGAGAAAAGCAAAAGGGTATCGAGCAAAAGTCGAGCTGGTCTGCAGCGCGGGGTATACGTCTCAAACGAAGTGAGCTGGAGAGAAGCTGGAGAAGAGGAGACCAGTGTGGGCTGTGAGGAGAAGGCTGCGCCGTATAAATAGCAGAAAATGCATGCGGAGACGGGTTCGTAGGGTCTATTGACAGTGGAGCCCCAGTGTCAGTCTCATCCGCATACCCATCCGACTAACATTTTCCAGAACGCCCTAGCCATGGAGGCGAAAGGAGATATGCTCGCACGAGCGCCCTGACAACGGAGGTATGATGACATCGCATCGTGGAGCTGGAGCTGGCAACGGGGCAGCCTGTCACGAGCACGCTCGAGCCGGAGAGCTGCCGGTCGTGAATTTTCTTCATCGCGTAGTATCGGAATGGTTGCTGGACACGCCGAGAAGCACAGACAGTTGATAGTGCAACGATCGGCCCACTGCAGCTGTTGCAAGTATACCACCCTTCCGGTTCTGGTGGATTGCCCCTCGGGGTCGTATACGGGGTCGCATAGTTTGTGATCTTGCCCCAGTGACTCCAGTATCGCGTGCTGCAACGGTTTCCCCTTACACAGCCATTGTGGATGGTGATGATGGGGTGCGCTTCAGTATCGGCGAACTGCTCCATCCGAGTATCCAATGTTAGACTTCATCCAGCCGGCCTATGAGATAGCTTGGAGCTACCCGGGATGTTTCCTTATGCAGGGGCATAGACGCGTCTATAGTGCAGACGAGGCTGACAAGTGCCTCATATCGTTGGACAATATGCAAGACGTGTACGCACGGACGTGACGGCACTCGCTAGCTTCCGCAGAGCCTCAAGTCGCGTTGGATCGTTCACACCGGTGACAAGTCCATCTGTTCGCCATTGGAGGGTAGCCGGAACGAAAAGGTTGTTCTCCAGCTAGGGCAGCACGTTTTTCGTCCTAGTAGCCGGTAACTGGTGCGCCAGAGCTTCTGCATTAGAAAACCGGGGGTGACAGTTCCTGCGGGATATCCAAATTCTTCGCGGAGCGCGGTAAATCGAGACTTGCGACGTCAGATGTCCACCTCTACGTCACCGTGAGTTTTCATCGCTGGCAGCGCATCTCGGTGTCGGCGGTACGAACTTGGCAGGTTTCCCAGCAAACGCCGGTCTTGGCCGACGCGCGATAAAAACCTCATCTCCGACTCCGAGGTTGCAGCGCTAGCGGCCCGCTACGTGCATCAAAGCGTGAAAATCCTGAGCCAAGAGTCCTGAAGTTTCTGAGAAATACGGGTCCGTGTGGATCAATGCGAGAGCATCGTGAGATGAGCAATGTGACAGGTGCCGACATCCAGGTCACGCTTTCGCGTCGAGATTGTGAGACCGGGTGATGTTCGGGAGACCGAGGGGTTACCGGATGTTGGGAACGGCAGTATGTGGGATGACGGTTGTGGTGCGCATGTGGGGAGACACGTTGTTGGAGTCTCCAGATACGTCTATGATGGTTAGCCTTGACTCCGTGCTATAGTAGACAGGTACCCCGTGGGTGGTGTGAGTATGGGGTGCCGACCGCAAACAGAAAGATGCGGGATGTGACGAAATAAGCAAGCATACGTACCAGTATCAACCATTCGATTGAGCGCACCAATGCCAAAGAGCCATTTCTCTTAAGCTTGGTAGCAACATGTCGCCGTCGTTCTGAAAAGAGCCAAACAGACGTTCCACCCCGTGGGGAGCGCGACCTCTTATACAAATTGCTTCGGACGGCTTTCCTCCGGCTGTGGAGATTCCTTGACCCCAGAGAGGCGCCGATCCACCAATGAATGATGTAGTCCCGTGATGAACGAGCCGACTGCCGTTTCTTTTGCCTAATGTATCGCCTCTTTTGAGCCTCCTTTCATCCTCTGCCTGAGTCGAGAAGCGCGAAAGCTTCCCGCGTGGCGGATGGCATCCTGCTTTGGGAAAGGTTCAGGCCACCTCCGCGAAGCGCGATCGATGCTGCCGTGGTGAATGTCGCATTGGAGCTGTGAGGATGTTGACATTCGTATGAGACTTTGATCAAGGTGCAAGCCGTAGTAGCACGCCTGTTACAATCATATGTGTTGTTTTGCCTTCTCAATGGCTTCTGCAAAGCGTGTGTTGGCTCTTTCCCATCGGATGGGGCGGAATGGGGTGTGGAGAAGGAGCTCTGGGGTAATGCGGATTAGTTATCGCCAAGCCCCGCTAGCGACCAGAAAGGGCATGACAGCGTGCTTTCCCTTGACACATCTTTTTCCCAGTCAACGCATGAAAGCACTCGAACTTAGACGATGCATACGCTCTACTCATTGCATCCGTTCTATAAATGATATGCGCTGAATCACGATGCCTAACACTCTCCTTCATCACGATACTAGCCACATTTACCCAGTCCCGGCGCATAATAGCTAAGCTTCCAGAATGGGTCACAGTGCACGTGCAACTTTCGCGCAGGCATACTCATATCATGGATCAGGGATTGGGCGTCTCATATTCGATGTACCTATGTATCTGATTGCCCCCATGCTAGTATCGGCGTGTCACCTCGGATGTGAAGAACTCGAGAAACTATAGCACTGTCCAGGCATCTCCAAACTCTCGTTATAGAAGCACTTCTTTCCGGCTGTCCTTCTTGCTCCACGAATAACGTGCCTCAAATGCCGTCTCTGTACCACTCCCTGATCTGCGCGACCCAGTCCTCGAACCCCTTCTTCTTCTGGAGATACGAGTACCGCACTTCGGCTTCATCGAACTCCTCCATCGGATAAACCTTGATGTTTCCCGAGAGCAGTCTGCCTCCTGAGCGGAACCTCCATAGCCTCATATTCGTGTTCTTGTGCATGTGTCTTGCCATCTTTCTAATTTCACTTGCAATACCCGCATCTACCTGGAAAGGCAGCTTTTTCCTTCGCAGAACACGCTGTAGCGCCGCCCCGGCAACAAGCAAACCGCGACATCCAAGATCCTTTCGTAGAGCTTGCGAAAAGATAGCCACTTCGAGCTGCGGATTTCTTTGGCAGAAAAAAACGAAGTCATCAAAGGGTATATCCGAGAGAAAGCTGTCTGTGGGTCGATCATGCTTGTAACACTCAAGTTGCCGAGTTCCAGGAACGAGGGTTTGGCTAAAGGTGTTATAGGAAGAGTGAAAGGACGCGTCAGCCGGCGAAACACCCATCCAAGCAGTCTCTGTGCGAAGCTGCCGACAAGTGTGCTTGAGTGTATTGAACTGGTGTAATCGCGTTGCGTGGGCCTTGTATGGTGCCTTGTGAAGATTACCAATCACACGTAGCGGTTTTGAGTCCTCCAGTGCGTATTCATAGATCCTGTTGCGGATCTCGCCAGGTAATCGGAGAAGCGGACTATGGAACTGAGGCAGGATCGATTTTGGCACTAGCAAAAGTGTTAGTGTCGTAGAAGTGATTGCAATAGCTGAGATTACCTGCGCCGCTGCCCTCGGCACTCGCAGTCGCCATTGACTGAGCTATACTGTTGATCGCTGTCGCTGTTTATCGTTCTTGCAATGCCGGGACAAAGAGTTTGGAGGTTGCTACAGCGAAAATCGCGTGGAGGCAAGAGCAAATGCGCAGGCTAAGCGAGGGCGGAGGTCAAGGCACAAAGGGAGGAAGAGCGAGCGTCAGTAGTACCCGTGAATCTCCCGAGGTCCACAACCAAGCGCGCCAAAAGAAGAGGGAAGGCCGGGTTGCAGCAGCGGCGGCGGGCGATATATGACTGGCTTCTGTCGCGGGTGCAGAGGGTAGTCCCTGGCAGGACTCAGCGCAATGACGTGAAGTGAATGTAAGTCTATTCTGGTTCCCTTCCATCCCATCCATGGTACTGCGATGACGCAGAGCGAGACGAGCTACTCATGACTCCCGAAATACATAATCACCACATACGCAAAGGTACTCCTCATCAAATGAGAGAGATCGCAATCCTCAGAGTGTGAATGTAAGTCAACGCCCGCAGCCGTGAAACCTCTAGTACGGTCGCTTTTGTATGGTGACAAAGTGTTTTGCCAGGCCTACAGTGTGGCATGCAAGAACACGTTATGTTTGCAGTCTAATTGCTGATCCTAAACACATGCCTATGCAGTGTTCGCTACAGGTAGTTAAGATTGGAAAGACATGTTAATTCGATGCATGTAAGGAATAAGTTCTGGTATGGATCGAGCTACAAACCCGCAGTCTACACTGCAAATTCCCTCATCGTGTTGCGGCATCGCCAGCGGCGTATGCTGGATTGGCGTCACTCAGCGTTCGAGATTCCCATTTAGTAGTTTGCGGCGTTCCTCAAGATGTGCTTCCTTTCCCGCACACAATTTTCCCCCCATGTTCCTTGATTTAGTCAACAGTTACTTTGACCTCATTGGACAGAGGTTGGATCTTGCAAATTTTCTCACTGGGTTGCGCTGTGCGCTCGTTGGCAGCAGCAATCTACTCTTTGAACTTGGCTTCATGAAGAGCGTTACGGCGCCTCAGCTCGGCTAGGATCTAGCCCAGTCATGAGTTTGCGATCGGGGTGGATCGATTCCCGGTTCGTCATCTGCTGTGCTGTGGTCGTTGATGCCTCTTCGTGTTACACCGATCTTTGCGGCTGTTTGGCTTTGTAACGATGGCGCTGCGTGATGGCAGCGGTCAAAATGGTGCGCGGGCTGCGCACCGAGCACGTGATCAGCGCACTAGCGCCTTGGCCAAACAAAGGCGAGTCTCAACGCGACACCGAAACTTTTGACCGCAGCATTAACATCCCACACCGCTGCAAACGACCATGAACACCACCATGGCAGAAGATTCGCACCTGCAGCAGCATTTCAGCCAAGGCCTTGGTAACGGTGGCGATGGCCCGCCTAATGAGCGGCAGCATGATAATCCACAACGTGGACATTACGCGGAGAGTCTCCGCCCAATTGTAGTGCGCGACCATCAGAAGTCGGCTAACGGTATGCGCTTTGGTGAATACCAAGAGCCTGGCTATCATGTCGGCTATCAAAACAGCAGCTACGGCGCTGAGTATGGCCGTGTACCTGAGACATACGGTCCTCGAAGCAGTTGTACTGACCCTAGGCATGCCTACAATAGGCACTTGGAAAGTAGGTTGCAAGAGCAAGAGCAGCGTCTTGAAGCTGCTATGACGACAATGCAGCAACAGGCGACTGCTATCACGACACTGCAGCAAAAGCATGAACAGCTGAGGCGCGAACATCTCACGCTAGTACATCAGCTCAACGCAGAAACGAGACGCAAACCCGCAATGGCAACCCAGACGGTGCCAGAGACTGTGGGCGAGACGCCAGTTGAGCAGGCCTTGACAGACGGTGAGCAGTTCCTGGCGCTTCAGCGTGCAAGGTACCCTGACCTAGACATGGGCCCATATGGTCCACCTCGGTCGCAGCAAACGCTGCCACTGCATCAAGCGCAGCAATCGCTGCCGGTACAACAGACTCCTGCTACTGGAAAAGCACAACCGCCGCCACAGCAGTTGCCAACTGGCCAACGGCTTCTTACACAGGCTCGTATCAAAAAAGCGGCAGGTGTACCGCTATCCCAAGAGCACGTGTCGCAGCCAGCACTTGGTCCTGCACAGTCAGGCTTCTTGGGGGACTTAAAGGACCTGTTCGAACCCACGGGGGTCGACCTCTTCGCTTACGGCGGCTATATTCTCCCGCCGCCGCGACAAGATTGAAGGTGGGTAGAACGGGTTGAATGGATGAGGCAGAAAGCTCATGGAAGTTAGTTCTGCTGCCGTGTAGTTCATATGAATGCAGAGATTTTCGGGAAGCAATCAGTGTTCTCCCCAGGCACATGTGATGCTTGCATAGTGGGTGATATCTCATGTATGTCAATAACAGTCCTATGACATCAACCACGAAGACTACCATCCTTCTAACCACCCTCCTCCCCAAAGCTCCACCCTACTATCTCCACTGCCCGTCTCACGTCCGCCCCAAAAACCAAATATCATACCTCCCCGTATAATTAGCCCCCGTCCTCGTAAGCATCGGCCTCGGAAACTCCAGCCCAACCCACTGCTGCCAATTGCTCCACCTCACCCCACATCCCAGCCTAAACACAAAGTTCTGCGGAAACGGCTGCGGTTCAAACGCATGGTCCGACCATGTCTCCGCCATCTCATCCAGAGCCCTGTCGATACTGTACCAAGCGCTGTAGTATCCGGACCCGCACTCTACCCGTTTGCGAGCTATCTCGTAGGAGAAGCCTGCGATGGGGAATTTGGATGTGTCGTTGGAGACCTTGGGGTCGGAGCTGTGGAGGAAGGCGTGGATCGACGTGGAGGGGTGGTGGGTGGCGAATGTTACGAGCTGGGCTATGCAAGGGTCGAAGAGGTGCGGCGAGAAAGGAACCTGTCTGTATGCGATGCGCTCGTGGACGTGGATGCGGCGGATGCTGTTGAGTTGCTCGGGTCTGGCGTTGGCAATGTAGCTTGCGCATATGCTAGAAGCGGAGTCGGGCGTGTCGTTGCGGAGGGGGAAGATCAGTTCTGGACAAAGGGTTGGTGGGAGAGCTGATGTTTCCTCGTAGAGTTGTTTGCAGACGAATTTCATTTGGTTTAGATCTATCCGTAGTTTTTGGGTCGGATCCTCGAGGATTAGACGCTGGTGTAAGACTCCGTTCTTGAGGTATGGTGCCATGAGGATAGGCTCATCCGTTTCGAGAACGTGAGCATAGATGATGTTTCGGAGCTCGCCTGGCAGTGAGAATAGCCGGAACGGCCCTGGTAACTCATCGTGGGAGTTCGTGGGTTGGTCTGATGAAGAAGTTTCGGTGTTGGTCGCTGGTGACACTGCGACATTCGACCGGAAGGGCGTATGTTGGTCTGGAAAGCTCACGGAAATAGGATAGCCGGCATACTCAAACAATGAGGTCAGCACGGGCCGGAATACACGCAGTAGTAGAGAGCTCATGGCTGCCAGATGTTGAAGTGGTGGGTTGAGAGAGAATATGTTTCGTCTTGGTGAACATAAGGGATTATGAACCTCTGGGGGTGCTCCGTAGAAAGCACCCAAGCCTTCTTCTTTGCGCACGAGCTCTGGAAAGGTCGGCGTACTTCTAGGCGGCAACAAATGATCGATGTCAGCGTCCGTTCACTGCATTCACATCACCAAATCACCAGGATTCACTCCCTCGTCATTCGCCACAATCCCAACCTCCCTCTTGAACCGTGACAACCAGTTCGGGAAATCCGCAGGCGTCTGGTTCCATGGGTCGTCACCATCATACATGATCCATCGCGCCTGATGCTGGATCTCTTCGTCGGAAGGGACGTGGCAGTTTGGGTTCTTCGGTGAAAGCGTCGATGCCGCCCATCTCCTCATGTCGCTGTCAAAGATCCGGTAGAAGTTTGTGTCGTCCGGTAGCAGCGATCGCAACCGACCGTACATGTCCGTCTGCGCGGTAGATTCAGGCGAGATTATGGGCTCTTCGGAGAAGGTGGGAAGTGTAGTGAAGTAGTCGTGGGTTTGCTTGGATGGACTTGCGGTCCCGAGAGCGGACGTGGATGCTTCTTTGGGAGGCGAGGCTGGCCAGGATAGGTCTAGTAGCTCGCCCAAGCCATGATCTGCCGGGATGTTGGTAGATACAACGTCGGAGATACCTGCGCGTTGCTTGAAGAGCGATATCCAATTCGTGCCCGAGTAGATTCCTTTGACTATCCAATTAGCGAAGACGTCAGATGGCGTACTGGACTCTTGCTCCATGCGCCGAACAATCTGACATGCTTCATGATGCAGTTGCACATCGTCCAGTGTCTCACCCGTCCCCACGCGCTGAATCACGAAAGCGCGAAGCTGCGCTTCTAGCGGGCATTGTTCGAAGAGATGATCCTTGGCATTGATGCGCAACGGGAAATGTCTGCTCTCGCGAGAAGATCGAACGGGCTGAAACCTTGCGTGTTCAGTCAGCTCATGTGATGACATCATCAGGTCTCGCAGCCACGAGACCTCGTGAAGATGGTTTGTGTCTGGTCCGTGCATGACGGAAGTAGTTTCGGCTGCGAAGATGATGCGACATGCTTCTAGCTGCATCGCGTCATTGTCAGGTAAGTATCCGTGCTTGTCGAAATACCGCTGAATGAAGAACTCGATTTCGACTTTAAGCAATTCGTAGGCGTTTGGTGGAGTACCCCAAGATGGATCGCTGCCTTTCATGGGAATGAGGGTACCTCGTTCCCAATCGATGAGATCTGGATGATGTCAGTATGCATAGCCTTCAATGAGCGAATCATGAGGATCATACCGGGCGGAATAGCAGTCTCGACCAGCGGTATGACAGATGCATCAAAACCCCAGTCACCTTGCCAACTAGCCATCGTAACACCAGACTTGAAGTGATCGGCAAGATGATCGGTCCTCTCAAGCCATGTATTCATAGTGGTACCGCAAAACCCGCATCTTGACCTGACATCTGGTATAGGCAACATCCAGCGCGCCATCGACCATTCGGAGAATTCGACGCCGTGCACCAAGCGCAGATGCTGAACGAGATGATCTTTCCGATGGAAGGTACGTTCTTGTAAGCTCCTTTCCTGGCATGCCGAGTAGTGGTGCGCTTCGATATGCTTGTCATCCGGTTGCACCTCGCCGCAGAAGACGCAGCATTGCTCTCCGATGGACTCCTTCGTAGTGCGAGAGCCTTGGAGTGCGCAGATCCATCTCTCCAGCGGTAGGTGGAGCGACTTCTCGTGCCTTTGCCAGTCGTACTTAGTCTTGAAGACCTCGGTGCAAAACGTGCATTGGTACGGCATACCGATGGGTGCGGTTCTCTCCGTGTCAAGACGCCGGCGTCGAGTGGCCCGCTTCTTCCGCGGTGCGCGACGTACTTTGAGAGATGTTTGTGACCCTGATGAGCAATGACCCGAGAATTCACTCGATTGGGAAGTTCTTGCACTACTTGCTGAAGACATGGCATAAGGCGATTCCCATGGCTGATGATACGCGAAGTCTCCAGCGTCTTCGTCTACTAGCAGTCAGCATTGCAACCTCATTGCATTGGATAGTCAGTCACTCACGCGAAGTAGAAGCCATGGCACGCGCAATGTCGCCAACAGCAGCAGGTTCATGCTCCGGCGGCGATTCCACCCAACGCTGCATAGGGTCTTTATGATTCGACGCCATTCTAACTGCAGGCGTGCCAGGTCTTGGAATGATATCAACCGGAGAAGAAGGCGAGTTCTTTACTTGCGGCGAAGTTGGACGGACACTTTGCACCTTGCCACGCCGACGGGCATTCGCGAACCAATTCGTAAGCTGCGCTTTATTCAATCCCGTACGGTCCTGAAGTGCCATCATCTCGCCCTCGCTTGGATAAGGATGCTTCTGATGAACAGTGAGCCAGTCTTTGAGTGTGCGGATGACTTCTCTGGAGAAGCGGCTACCAAGCTTGGGTCGCGACATCGATGCGCTTGGCGTAAACGGCGACGAAGAGGCTGTTGAGTGGTTCGAAAGATCCAGAAGCGACGGATCCATCATCCAGCTTTCATTGTACTGATTCGGTGCCGCATTCGAGGCTGCCAGTGCTTCGGACAAGCCGGCGAAGCTGCCATCATCTAGGGCGTGGTCTGAGGCGAACTGACTGCTTTGAAAGGCGAAGAAGGCATCGAGATCAGCTGGACTATTCATATCAATGGCTACTCAAATGTCGCGAAACATGGAGAGAAAGTTTGCGGGGTAGGAGAGTTGGTTCACTGGGACGCGCTAGATCGTGTTCGTGCTAACCGAAGAAGGGAAAGCGTGCATGTCAAGTACGCCTTACTGCCACGCTTACCGGACCAGAATCCTTCAAGTCACGTCAACGTAGGGAAAAGCTAAATGGATTTGCAGCCTACATCAATACGACAACGTGCAAAGTAGGTGACCCAACGTCGATGCATATTCCAGACCTATCTCACACGGTGACAAGATGGAGGGAACGTTATTTCATTCCTCTACTTATCCAACTACTTGTCATCCAAAGAAGCTACTTCCGCTTCCGCATCACATCCGTAAGAAGACCCGCAATAAGCCCAAAGCCTACCACTGATACGTCTCACACTTGACGCTCTTGAACCTATTCTCCACGCTCAAGTCATCAACCCACTGCTCCCCACCCCTCGAGTCAATGCTCATGGGCGACTTGTCCTCTCCACCTCCACAGCCAAAGTCGCGGTACCACTTACAGTACGCGCGGCCATACTGGATGAGCGAGATCGGGCCCTGATCCGCAGGAGCAAAGTTGGCGCATTGCTGAATAGCGTTGATGGCGTTGTCGGTGCAGAACTGGTAGTGCGCTTGGTGGCAGACTGTTGTTGAGCCTGGGGGCCAGTCGCGCTTGGTGACCTCGTTCGCAGTCGCCTTAGAAGCTTGACACTCCACGCTCGCAACCAAGTTGGTCTTGACCCCGAACGTAGTGTGATCCGTGGGAGTCGATACGTACTGCCACGCTTCGTGCGAGCAGCCGGCTTCAAGGTAATACTTGCACCATGTACCCTTGGCCTGCATGATGAATTGGGACTTGTGGGCGACCTGGGCCGGAAAATCCGTGCATTTATTTTGGGCGTTGATGTACCAGCAGCCGGAGGCAAAGTCTTCGGAGCAGGCGAATACTTCGCCCACTCGGATGACTCTAGGAAGTGTCCATGAAGGTGCCGAGTCCGTGGGGAGAGAATCGCGCTTGGTGATATCGTCGGCGTAGATGGGCCTGTCTACGGCGGTGACCTTTTCGATAGCATGGTCGTGGGGAATGACTTCCAGCTCAGATGTCACACCGGGACCTCCGCACACCACACTCGCGAGATCCTTGAAGAAGGTCCCAATAAATGCAGTCGGATTTCCTGGCGCCGATGTGTGATGGAAAACCTCATCACTATCCTTGCATCCAGGCTTGTTGTAGTACCAACAATACGTCCCCTTAGCCTGCTCGAGGATCATGACGTTGTGGGCGGTGTTCGTAGGGAATTCTAAGCAATCGTTGAGTGCATCCATGATCCAGCAGCTATCGGTTTGCTCATAAGAGCAGGTGAATAGATCGCCGACTGGGAGATCTACGGGGCTATATCCGTCTCGGGGGTATTGGATCTGGGTATTGGTTAAGTCGGTAGCTGGATCCGGTGTGTTGGCTGCAGAGGCCGCGGAAGTGATGAGAGCTACATTGGATCGAGAACCTTGCTCCCGCGCAACAATCTCAGCGTGAGGCTGAGTACGCATACAAATGACATGAGTAAGCCTCTTGCTGATCTTCGACGGCACGTAATGGACATCCCCACGCCCCTGGCCCGACGCAACAAGGAAGATAGGACCCTTGGATACATCGCAGTCGTCCTTGTAGAACGAGCAGGAAACATTTCGGGGTACAGCCACAGCGATCAGATCATGCGCAACAGAGTCGCCAAGCGGGATGCACTTCTTGGCGTCTTCATCGTAGATACCTAGCTGGGAAGTGCTGCCGAATAGAAAGGCCATGGCTCCAGGGTCGGCCATCGATGTGTCTAGTGCTTCTCGCGTAACGATTGTAGATTGAGGCTTAGTACGCATACACATGAAATGAGTAAGCTGCTTGCCAATGTCTGACGGCACTTTGGGGACTGCGTCACCCTTGTCCGAGTGAACCTGGTACAGAGGACCCTTGGATACGTCGCAGCTGTTCTCCCAGAACCTGCAAAGGACGTTTTCGTGTACAGCCACGGCAATGACATCGTGCGCAGTAGAGTCGCTAAGTGGGATGCAGATGTTGGCGTCTGCGGGGTAGATACCAAACATGCCAGTGCTGCTGAATACGTAGGCGATTGATGGACCGTCCTTTTGTAAAGTCATCAGAGCCGTGTTGTCGACAATGGGTGCAGTATCCGCCCGCGCATCAATAACGGATGTACTAGCCGCCCAGGCATCGATTTCAGCATCAAGAGTATGCTTCTTCCCGCAAGCGACGTGTGTGATGTCGCGGCCAGTATACCCCGGGATATCCACACTCACGACATTGCTCCAAGGATTCGAAGCGCGGAAAATCGGGAACTTGGCTATATTGCAGGCATTGGTGTAAAACACGCAGAGAATGCCGGCTTCGAGTTGTACTCCGACAACGTCATTAGCCACATGCTTGCTGAGCGCAACGCAATCCGCGTCGTTGTCGTCGTAGATGTACAAGTCGGCTGTATCGCCGAAGACTCGGGCCATCTTCGTCTTCTGGGCTGCTGGTTCGAGAGATGAATCATCCGCTCGCGCATTGACGTCGGCATAACCATCTTTCTTTCCGCAAAGGACGTGGGTGATCTTCTTGCCAACATCCCCTGGCACGTCTCGAGTGGTGAATTGCTCCTTATCGGTCGAAACGCTGAAGACGGGGTATACAGCTAGGGTGCAATCATTGTCGTAGAACACGCAGAGAGTGTGAGCTGCAACAGTTACACTGGTAACACTGTTGGCAACACGATCTCTTAACATAACGCAGGCTCGGCTGTTTTCCCTGAGGATAGCATGACGACTCGTGCTGCTGAAGATTCTCGCAAGGGTTCCCGAATATGCCGTTGTAGCATCCGCTCGTGTCTCGATCGCAGCATGAGTGTCTTTCTTCCCGCAAATGACGTGGGTAATCTGCTTGGAAGCATCTGCTGGCACGTTTCGACTGAAGTACCCCTCCGTGGTCGAAAAGGTGAAGACGGGGTATCCAGCTCGACTGCAAGCGTTGTCGTAGAACACGCAGAGAGTGTTGGCTCCCATTTCTACCTTGGTAACATCGTGGGACATATCGTCGTTGAACCGAACGCAGGCTCTATTCTTGTCGCTGAGAACAGCCATGTTGCTTGTGCTGCTGTAGATCCTCGCTAAGAACTCCTTGGCCATCGTTGTTGCAGAAGTGGCTGTCGGGCTAGCTTCGAGAGATACAACATCCGCTCGCGCATCGATCTCATTGTGTGGGGCAGACGAAGGCCCGCAGACAGCGTGGGTGATTTTCTTGCTGACATCCGATGGCACAGGAACTTTGGTATAGGGGGCCTCGCTCTTTGCAGTGAAGAGAGGCTTAATGACAGTAAAGCAGCCGCTCTCGTAGAACCTGCAGAGGGTATGATCGACCAAGGCTGCGTGCGTCAAATGACGAGATACCGTGTCCGGGAGTTTGATGCAGAGCCCAGCGAAGTTCTCTTGATACTCGAAGGCGTAGCCGGTATCGCTGATGAGTCGCGCGATGAGCCCGGACGGTTCCTCGACCGCGAAAGATGGCGCCTCGAGAGACGTATCCGCTACTCGAGCTTCGAGCGCAGGAACATCGCTCAGCTGGTGGTCGCCCTTGTAACACCAAACATACTTGAACCTAGTCCCGTACTTCGCATCGATCTTGAAGAGGTGTTGCTTATCCAGAGTTTGAGCGGTGTAAATGGGTTCGCCTTTGCAGTCTGAGTGGCGGTCGTTGTAGAATTTACACCTCAGACCTGGATCTTGAATGAAAGAATCGACGTTATACGCGATATCGCTGTTTAGCTTCAGACAGTTACCCAAGAGCTTTTTTTGCATGAGTTGGCCTACGCCATGGCTGCAGACAACCAAGTATTGGTTATCTGGGGACGGGTTCATGCAGGCCCAGTCTGGTGAGACGTCGGTGTCTGGAGCGGCGTCGGTATCTGGAGCAACGACAATCTCTGGAGAGGAAGGAGCAACGACCTCTCGAGCTTCCACCTCACCAACGTCCCTGCGCCACTGACCAATCTTGCACATGACATACTTGATCCGGTTTCCAGCATCGGGTGGAATCGTAAAGCTCTCCTCTTTCTCATAAGTAGTGGTGGACCCTTCGATGTTGCCATTGCACTCGTTGCTGTCGTCGTAGTACCTGCACGAAATGCGCGCATTCTGAGTAATAGTTTCAACGTGGTACCCAACGGTACTGGTCAGCGACACACATGCGTTCATCCAATTGTTGGGGATGTTGTTGGCGTTGCCATTGCCGCAGATGGACAAGAAGTAGTGGCTCGCATCGGGGTTCATACAGGCGGAGGAAGATGCAACACCCCTGCGCCACTGACCCTGCTTGCACATGACATACTTGAGCTGGTTTCCGACCTGGGGTGGATACGAAAAGATCTCGATGTCCTCTGAAAGATTGTTGGAGTACGCTTTAAAGTCGCTATTGCACTCATTACTGTCGTCGTAATACTTGCACATGATGTGCGCGTTCTGAATAACAGTGCCGACGTGGTGCCCAACGGTATCGGACAGCCGCACACAAGCGTTCATCCAATTGTTGGGGATCCAGTTGGCGTTGCCACCGCCGCACACGATCAAGAAGTAGGAGTCCGATCCAGGGTTCATACAGGGGGATGGGGACCAAGATGAAGTGTCTTCGGGTTGGGTGGGGATCGCGTCGTGGGCGGAAAGAGCGTCATTCTCTTCGGCATGCTTGATATCTTCCGCTCCAAGAACAAAAGGAGCATCGTCCAGAAGAGCATCATGAGCTCTAGCCTCGAGCTCACCAGAATCCCCACGTGGCGGCGCCTTATCACACCTGACATACTTGATCTGCTTGCCAATCGCCGACGGAATCCGAAAATGGTGGGTAAGGGTAGCGACGACGAAGTCGCTGTTGCAGTAGTCGCTGTCGTCGTAGAACCTGCACATGAGACCAGGGTCTTGGACCGTGGTGGTGACTTCATGCGCGACGCCGGCGGTAAGTAGTGCGCAGACGCCGAGCCAGGTCTTAGGCATGGTGCTCGTGTTGGTGTGGTTGCCGCAGATAGCCGCGAGCCACATGTCTGGCTGTTGTCTCATATTGCATTCGGGAGCAACATACTCGAGGTCGGCGATGTCGGCGGGTTGGGAGGTCGGGATGAGGGAGACGGCAGTGGACTCGGGAGTAGGAGCGGCGAAGGCAAGACCAGCGAGGCCGATCAAGCCAGCGACTAGATAGTGAGCGCGCATGATGACTACCACGTTCAATGTCAGAAATCTCATTTTTCTCCGCAAATCATGAGGTTACTCACCGTCGTCCAGCCAATCGCTCTTGACAGACCGACGCGGTCGATAGCGAAGTGGATAGATGTAGTAGCGGTTGTAGAGCTTCGGCGCAATTGATGGGGCGGCTTTTGCAGCCAGTAAGAGAGGGCGGGTAGAATTGAGAAGGGTAGTAGGTGGGTGGAAGAGAGAAGACAGGAGGTATCAAGTGGAGAATTTTATCCCCAGTAAGAGAGCGGTGGGAAGGCGCTCGAAGGCCAGGCGGGCGACAAACGGATACCCAGTCAGTGAGGGGTGGGTGGAGAGAGAAGGCAGGAGGCGGCGGGTGGGAGACTTTGTCAATAGTAGGGATAGCGGTGGAGAAGCGCTCGTCGAACGCCGCTGAGGCCTGGTGAGCAACAAACGGAGCGCCAGCAAGTGAGAAGTGAGAGAAGCGAGACCCTGACGAACGAAGACGAAAACGAGGTGTGCTTGGCCGGATATGGATTTTGACTATCAGGATGTGAAGCGCATGGTCTTCCGGGCTTCGCGTTCGAGCCTAGAGTCTTTTCGCGAGGGACTTTGGATGCGTACATTGGCGCAATGCGCCTGGTTTAAGATTCCGCGATTGGAATGCGGCGGTTGACCGTAATCTCATACTACCCGCAATGTTGGTACCCGAGTCCCAGTGAGAATACCACACCATTTCGATCCGCGCGACTCAAGGGTCACGGTCGCGGTTGATGTCGTACTGCCGTCAATCGAGCACATCCTGGCCTGGCTACCTTACCGTTCCATTCCGCGCCGCTCTACGGGTCAAGGTCGCGATTAATGTTATACTGGCGATACCCAAACCCATCCATCGTAACCCAATGGCCCAGAGCCTCCATCTCAGCCCACACCTGCGGATAATGCTGTTTAATCCAAGCCTCGACGCGAGTTTGCCTCTCAATATTAGCCGTGCAGTTGAACCAGCTGCCTAGACTGCTTTACTGTTAACAAAGCCACCAGGTTGAAGTCAATGAAGGAAGTAACGTACATCTGCAAATCAGGAGTAAACCCATACTCCTCCTCCACAGACTCCACCAGCGCCAACGCCTCATCATGATTATGATTCCGCGCAACAGCACACATATACGCTGTCCAGATGTTCTTGTCAATCTCGACGTCCTGGTCTTTCAAGCGCTTCCAGATGGACCTTGCGTGTTCGGAGCCAAAGTGCATGCCTTCGCTCGATCGGAAGGCGATGGCGAGACTGTTGTATGTGGGGCCTTCTTTTGAATCGCAGATCTCGCGCCAGAAGGACAGGGCTTTGCGGTTCTCGCCGGTGGCAGCGTATGCGAGCATGAGTGAGTTGCGGAGTTTGGTGTCCATTTCTACGTTTAGGTCCAGTTTCAGTTGGTTGTGTGCTAGTTCGAGGGACTCGGCATCTTGGCAGCGAGCGAAGCCGGTGAAGGCTGCGACGTAGACGTCTCTTGTTGCGGTGTGAGTCGGGCTGACGTGATTGCGCATGTGGAAGAAGACGTGACAGGCCATGTCGGAACGGTTCCTGGCGAAGAAGCCGTTCATGATTGGTATCCGGTCTTCTCGGGGTGTTTCGACAAATACGTTGCGCAGGATTTGGTACCCGTCCCAAGCATCCGCGGTGCTAGTCTCACCGTCTAGTATGAACATGGAAAGTGCTTTCTGGATGATCGTCCGCTGTTCTGGTGAGTATTGATGAGCGTGCACCTGGAGAAGATCCATCGCGTCGTGGATCTCACCCCTCCGCAGATGCAACAGCGTCAGCGCTGCCACTGTTTCTGGTGCGAAGCTGGCCTTGCGCTCGTGCAGGTCGTCCACCATGGCCATCAACTCATCGAAATGATGCTGTTTTGATACGCACAGTGCTTGGATCAGTTCGTTGACGACTGCAACACTGCGCTCGTCCCCAGAGAAGCTACCCTGCAGGTTGAAGTAGGCAGATCTCGCTCCATCGAGGTCGCCGACAGAGATGCGGTATTGCATCTGCATCGTATAGGTCGTCTCGTCGGGATGAATGCCAAACTTCTCGCCTAGTACGATGTAGCGCTCCGCCAGGTACGGGTCCTGCTTAGACATGCAATGCTCCACCAACGCATTGATGGTCTCGGTGTCTGGGCGGATTATAGGAACTTTAGGATCCTTTTGTCGTGCTTCGTCATTTCTGCGAATCAGCACGTTGATCATCCGAGCGATCTCATCAGGGCCTTTGCCGATAGCAGCAGACCAGAGGAAGATTGCATCCCACTCAGGTTTCGAGGGCATCTCAACCTTGAGCATGCTCGCTACCACCTGTTGACCATATGTAAGATCGCCTGCTGCGGCGCAGGCCTTGAGCAGAGCAGAGCTGGTGCCGCCCGACGGCTGCGTAACCTGGTGGCCGACTTTGGTGTGAACAGGTTGCGAGTACCAAGATTTGGCTTTTTCCAGGTCTCCACGCTCAGCGTAGAATGCTACTAGTTTATTTTGCGCAGGCCTGGTCAATGGAACCGAGGCTTCTGTGAAAGCATCCACCGTTTTCGAGACCTCGGTCAGACTGTTCTCCCGGGTGATCCCTCCAATCACTGTGTTCCAGCTAGAGACCACGGCACCACGTGTCAAGGCATTCGCTGTCTTGTCGTATTTAAACGCGCTCATTGCGATATCCCTTGCTTCAGTAGCCGCACCAAACGCGGATAGAAGTTGGATACGCCTCGAGTCGATGTACATCTTAAAGGGGACCTTCAGTTCCTTGGTCTTCTTCTCTCCAGCTTTCTCGGGTTCTTGTTCTTCAGATTTTGCCAACTCGTCAACCACGAGCCGCCCAAAGGCCATGTGCGCTTTCCCTAGAATTTCTGGCCGCTTCGACGTGTCCAGTAGTTTCTCCAGGATATTATCCAGATCTTGCCGATATAGCCATGGCTTCCCGTCTTCTCTTGGATTCTCCAGCAGATATTTGAGAGCTTCAATTGCGGTCCCCACATGCCAGTCCTCAAATGCGCCTTTCCTTTGCGCAAAGAATTTCTTGATCGCATCCGCAACGTCTTTCGGTGCCGGCGGCCTGAGGTCATTCGCGCGCTTATACGAAACCTCAGCCATTGTATTCAGACCCGGTGGCGCCTCCGCAGGCTTGAGCTTCCGCTTTTGCTTGAACAGCTCCCCAAAGAAAGTCCGCCGTTGCGTCTGGGGAAGTAATCGGGCGCCATGTTGGGTGATGACGCGGGGTCGGACGGCTCGGTAGCGGCATCCTCGGTACAGCAGAGGCTCGTTGGCGATGATGTTGCGGAAGACGAGGCGGGTCAAGTGCGAGGGCATGGCGGCGGCGACGTTCGCTAAGCGCAGGACAAGACAAAAGTGTGGTGACGTAGGTTGGGCGTGCAATTGGCGCACGGTGGGAAGGGTATCTAGGCGAAGAAGCTGTCCATGAGGTGGAGGAAGGCGCACAAACGGTATATACACGAAGAAGACGAGATGGAAGCGGGATCCAGTGGCGGCGACGGGGAGTGAGGGGAGCAATTGCGGGAGCTCTTGCCTGCTGTGAAATCCAATTGCGCTAAGAAAGTCAACCTCCGACCGCCGAGGCCGCATCTCGAAAAGTCACGACGGCAGCGACGACGACGCCAACACCACCACAGCCGCCAACATGTCAATAACACGGTTACCACTGCGGCCGCTGCCGTCCATAAGCTCGACATGCATGCGCTACTTCTCCACCGGGTCCCATAAGCAAGGTGCGCCCCATTCCCCCACGTTCACCACATACCCCATCTCCCAACTGCCCTCCTCCACCACACCTCCCACCCTCTAACCACCCCAGGCCCCCAAGACGGCATCCTCGACATCCTCGCCAGCAGCACCGCCGCCGCCCGCCCACCCCCAAACACAAACACCACGCGCCCGCGCACCGGCCCCTCCCTCACAGGCATGGCTTCAACCATGGGCCTCTCCGCCAACATGCCACGCGAAGTCCTCGAATCCGACCGCGCAGCCCAATACCAACGGCAAATCTACCGAAAATGGCAACCGGGCGACGTCTACGCCCCCCACGACCTCTCCGGCACCGAGCAAAAGAAGTGGAAGTACGGGCGCAAGAAGCCGCAGCAAGACGCGTTTGATGTGCTGGGTATAAATCCGATATTGGAGTATAAGAACTTTACGATGATGTCTGAGTATATGACGGAGATGGGGAGGGTTAAACATAGCAAGGATACGGGGCTTAGGCCGAAGAATCAGAGGAAGGTTGCTAAGGCGATTCGGAGGGCGATTGGGTTGGGATTGATGCCGAGTGTGCATCGGCATCCGTTGGTGTTGAAGAAGAGTAGTCCGTCGAGGTTTTTGTAGGAGGGACGGGGGGTTGTATGATAGGGCAATTCGATGTGTATGTTTGATCTCTCAAGATAATTGATAGGCATGTGGTATTCAATGCGCTTTTCTTGATCCGCAGTGGAAGAAATTGAGTATGTATACAAAACCATAATCTGCGAAACGACCAGCGCGAAGAGCAATCATCTTCATACTCCAACTAATACCCCGTCTCATTCCTCCCCTGCCTCTCAATCCACAAGCTTATCATCTTCTGCTGCGCATGCACAATCTCCATCGCATAATCCTCATCATAAAGATCATACCACCCCGGACTCTCATGCGGCGGATCCCCCGCCCAAACCATCCCAAACTCATTCGCCTTCTGCGTCTCCGGCCTCCAAATCCCGCCATACGCCCACGGACTCGTCCCGATATACGCACCCCCATTCCTGAACTCATCCATAACAGCCCCGATGATCGTCGTGAAATAGGCGTCCTTGTGCGTCGTGCTCGCGTCACTGAGGTAAGGGTATTCCCTGTCTTCATTCACCCAGTTATCTCTTGCCATGCCGAATTCCTCCAGGAAAACCGGTTTCCCAATGTCGATGGCCCATTGACTGCTGTTCTTCATAAAGTCGCGGGCGAAATCCTGGGCAGCGACTAGATTCGCGTCGCTGGCGTTGTACATGTCATAGACGCCCCAGTTCTGGACCCAGCAGTGGGTTGTCGCGTAGTCGACGGTGGAGAAGTTGTGCACGCGCTTGAAGTAGTATTCGCCTTGCTTGCTTTCCAACCCGACGCTGATGAGCTGCTTGGGGGCGAGTGAGCGGATGTAGGCGGAGATGCGGTCGACCCAGGGGAAGAGTAGGTCGTTGGGGTTTGGTTCTAAGAAGATGTTGTAGGGGCCTGTGTAGCCGAGTTGGTCCGAGGGTTGGGGTTCGTTGGCGAGTTGCCAGGTCATGATTGTTGGGTCTTCGGTGTAGAGGCGGCCTGTGATGGTGTTGCGGCGACTCATGACGGTCTTGATGTGGTCTTTGTACCATTGCTCGGCCTGCGTGTTGTTGTAGATGAGGTTGGCGAAGGAAGTGAACTCGTCGTATGGAGCTGCGTTGACACCTTCTACGGTGTAGTTTCCCCATCCTGTACCAGGTGTTTCGCGCTGGGGTGGTGCAGTCTGGTTCCAGCTTGACGGGTACGGGATCGCGGTGTTGTTGTTTGCCCATGATACGTACTGGGCAAATCCACCGCTCCACTGCCACTCGTTGTTCAGCGTCATGGTGGCGCGCATGCCGCGTTTCGACATCTCAGCAAGGCAGATATCGAGACCTTGGAAGACGTCTTCGTTGTACTGGCCAGGTGACTCCATGAGTGCTGGATTCATCCTGAAGGGCTGGGGTGTTGGTGCCCCTTCTGAAGCAGCCATGATGCGGAGGTGGTTGATGCCTTTAGCAGCCATCTGATCGAGCTCTGTAACCAAACGCGAGTAGTTGCCTCCTGCCTCTGGGCCTGCCGCAAGATTCATGCAAGCCCAGTAGTTGATGCCTTGAACATGTCAGCCCACCACTTGTACGGGAGAGAAGCATATCCTTACCAGTAAGATAGTACAATCCATCGCCATTATACAGCCTCAATCCATCCACATAGACAAAGTCGTCGTCTGCAATCGCACTTCCATTATGGCTCCCACCTCCTCTCGGCAGCACAGAGCCCGCAGCCAACGAGGCGAACAACACCTGAGTCGCGACTTTCATCTCGACAACCCAAAGATAAGAATTTGGCTTGAACAAGCCATTACCAACGGCTCACATCAAAGCTTATATATCCATCCGCCTATCCCGAAGCCGCGGTCCGACTATGCATACTACGTCCCCAAGTGCCGGTTGACATCATATGCGGAGCAAGAACACCCCGACGATGCTACCTTCTCCATCGGAGTGGAGATCGTCGCTGTGCGATTGAGCGAGGTGTGGTAGTTCTTCCGCATGTCAACGCATGGTACACACGGGTATAGAATGGTAGTGACGAAATGGCTCGGAGTGTGGATCTCCGTTGTAGCGTTGGAGTAGTGTGCTGATGGATGTGGGTCGCTGGCGTTGGAGCCAGTTGCCAAGCCCCGAGGTGCCGACGTCTGTTAAAAATCCGTGCGCAAGCTCATGACTTCGATACCTCTGGCGCTGGCGCCGTGGTCCTACGTGTAATTCCACTCCGGCTGTCACGACCAACTCTTCAACGATCACGACCAATCCTCCACCATGGACGACGACGAAAACGACGAGATCGCAGCGGCCATGGGCTTCGCCTCCTTCGGCGGGACGAAGAAACGCAAATACGACCACACCGCCTCGCCAAAAGCTGGCCCTGATGCGAGCGGCGCCAACTCCACCAAACTGGGTGTCAGATCGAAAAAAGTTGCCAACGAAGACGAGATCAACCTCGACGACGCTGTATCCGACGCTATATCCGACTTCACAAACCCCACGCCGCAACCCCACAACAACGCGCCGGGTAAAGCAAAGAAGAACCGACCCGCCGACTCTGGTCTGGCTGCTTTTCTAGCCCGTGGCCAGAATCTTCCTGAGAAACCGGCTGCCACCAAGAGCAGCACTCCAAACCTTGCGATGTCTGGCGACCCGCCCACGGCAGAGATGGTATCATTCGGCGGTCCACCAATCTCCAAGGCTGAACTGAATGCGCTGCGTCACGGCGTGAGAATGGAGAATGGGGATACTGCATACTTTCTCCCGAGCTTTGTTGAGGATCCCTGGGCGAGGCTGGGAAAGGGTGGAAGTGGATGAGTGGATTTGTCATCACTCTAGGAGCAGTCTTGTGTATCGATCATGGGAGAGGAGACGGGTTATGGTCACCGCGCAGTCCTCCTCACACTTTTTCCGGTATACCGCGGTATCTCACCTAGATGCGCACGCAGCAACAACGTCCTTCTCGTGATTAGCGATGCAAATGTAGCATTTCCTTAGTCAACAGGAGTAAGGAAATGCTACATTTGCATCGCTAATTACAAGAAGAGTACAGCGCAATATCTACGTAGATCCCCAACCAACAAGAACATCCTTCTCGTAATTGGCGGTTAAGGACTTTCATCTCCATATTCCTGTTGAACATGGAAATGCAAGTCCTTAATCGCCAATTGAGAGAAGAATGAGGAACAGGTGTAGACTTCATTGGCAGTCAAGTAGTCATCAGCGCCGTCTCATCCTCTTCCTCTTGGACGATCGTCTGTTATAGCATAACGGGGAGCGTTCAAGAGGAAGAGGATGGGAAGGTGATGATGACTGCCTGCCTGCCGTGTTGGGTGTTGGGTGTTGGACTGCGGAGGAAGGAGTGGGGATTTGGAAGGCTGAGTCTTTAAGTGGTGATGCAGAAATTTGAGAAATCAAATTTTTGCATCGCCACTTTAAAGACTCTTCTGTGACATTTCCATGGGCAGTCCATCAACACGGCAACGTATTCGTGATCTCCGGTCATTGTGGAGGGCTGAGACGGATTTGAGAGTATAGTAGAGGATAAAACAATGAAAGAATGTCTTCGGGAGATGATAGCGCAAGCCTTGCAGGATGTGAAGCTTTTAAGTTCTTTACTTCAGTTCCCGGAACGCCTCCGCATCCGGGGCGGCCGATCGCGCAGAGTATCGTGAGTCGTGGTGCAGCCTCGTGCCTTCCAAGGTTTGTGGCTTGCGTCCAGAACGCGTCCACACGTGCTTTCCAGGGGTCGCGCCAATCACCCGCTGCGCTACTGGCTCACCATCACTGACTTCATCGTGCGCAACTTCCTTTTCTTCCCGACCTCTTTTAGTTTCTGTTCATGGGCTGATGTTTGCGACTGCCTAGTTGATGTTTACCTGAGAAGCCAACCCGATGCGTGCCTTGGTGTGCTTGTGGCTTTTCGGGAACGCCTGCGTGAGGCTATCGTGAACTTGATGCAGGTACGCGGGCAAGCCACTTCGGCTCCAATCTTAGAGCATGATCGCGATGTTGTGAGCACACACTCATCAACTGAAGAGATAGGTATATAGCTATGCAGCTCCCAAACCTTGTTAGGTTACTCGTCTCACTCTCTACGAGCACCTCACCAACAGTCATTCCTTCGCTCGCCGTCAATCTGTCGCTCCTTCGTATACAGCATAATCCTTAATCATTAATACCAGTCACAATGCGCTGGACCCTTCTCCTCTCCCTTTCAGCAGCGGTAACGCTCGCCGCTGGCAAAGTATCGACGAATGCGCGCTGCGGAAACGCCTACAATGCCTTGCCAGGAGGCATGACCTGCAAAGGTTCAAAGTGGGGTGATTGCTGCTCGCAGTACGGGTACTGGTATGCTATATAGCTTCGTTTTCACAGGTCACCAACTAATGTTTCGTGCAGTGGAAAGACGAAGGATTATTGCGGAACTGGGTGTCAGTCGTCGTTTGGTACTTGCAACGATGCAGTCGCACCAGCGCGTACTTCGACAACATCTAGCCGCGTCAGTACATCTACCTCGACCAGAACAGCTCCGTCGACAGCACCTTCGTCTACCCCTGCAAAAGTTAAGGTTACCACCAACGCTCGCTGTGGAAACTCGTATGGAGCCTCGCCGGCGGGCATGACATGCTCAGGCGGCAAGTATGGCGATTGTTGCTCGCAATACTCGTACTGTGGTAGCGGAAGCGCATACTGTGGAACGGGCTGTCAAGCTGGGTTTGGAAAGTGTGATGCTGTTTTGTCTTCTGCTAGGTCTTCGGCTTTCAGCACCTCAAGTTCCAGCTCCAGCAGCGCTTCGTCCTCTAGTTCGATTCTACTTTCCACATCGACCAGCGAAAGCACCACCAGCACCGCTTCAAGCTCGTCATCAACCGACGAATCCTCAACCTTACTTTCCTCCAGCTCGTCTTCCGGAATCTCCGTAACTCCCGAGACAGCAGCCTCCACGATCACGTCAACACCCACACCCTCCCCATCTACAACGGAGTTCTGCGGCACAAAAGGTTACATTAAAGAACAACCGTCCACCTTCACAAGCAGCCCTTTCACAACTATCGAGGATTGCCTAGCCAACTGCCGGGCTGAGAGTAGATGCGGCAGTGTAATCATCTCTGAGAGCGGGTGCTATCTAAATGAGTCGCCTATCACCAGTACAAACATCGACCTTGGGCCAGGATCCCCTCTGACATTTTACAACCGCGAGTGCGGGATCAGCGCCTCGGTAACTACTACGCTGCCTGTAACACCGGCAACGTCTACGACCTCGTCATCAATAACCTCTGTTTCTCCGACTGCTACTGAGCTCTGTGGCGTGGAAGGAATCGACAACATCAACCTCCAGGTCATAAAAGCCTCGCCATTCACAACCAACGAGGACTGTCTAGCAAACTGTCGCGCAGAGAGTGAATGCCGTAGCTTCATCATTTATGATAACACATGCTATCTAGCCCGGATACCTATCACCGCTACGAATGTCGACCCTAGACCAGGATCTGGTCTCACATACTACAACCGCGATTGTGGTACTAGCGCCCCAGCAGCCACCATGCCGCCTACAACACTAGCAACATCCACATCTACATCCACCACAACCACGACTCCAACCCCAACTCCCTCCGTTTGCGTCCCCGCCGCACCAACAGTATCCTGCGTCAAATACCCCAACTGCCCACAATTCACCACTCCACTTTCCAACGCCTGCTCCGCTAACAACTCCCAATGCAAAGACAATTACTTCGTCCGCTGCGAGAACATCCCGGCGGCCGGCTCTCAGGTCATCCTCGCCCTTGGAGGCATCCCGAACGCAGACGTCTGCCGTCAGCGGTGTGACGCTCTAAACAATTGCTCAGCGTTTGCGTTCAAATCCTTGAACTGCATTCTGTATAGCACAATCAATGGATTCATTTCGGACCCCGCTACTACTTTTATCAGGATCTGTGCGGATAGTTGTGCTGGGCAGCCGGTGAAGAGGGGTGAGGGGGAGAAGGATGGTAGTGACAAGTCTGTGAGTGTCGCGAAGTGGACGCAGGGTAAGCAGGGTAGGCAGAGGGGACCTAAGGATACTTAAAGGTATATCATCGATATACAACAGCCCGGTCATTCCAAAGAGATGATACTTTTCACATTTCCCCACAATAGATACTTTCATATCAAATTCTAAACTCAGCTTCGAAGTCCCACACACTCTCCTCTCAACACCCATCCCCCACCCCCATCCATCCCATCAAGAAAAAGCAACCCACCCCCCGAACCCCCACGCCTCAACCGCAAGCACAAACCCCGCAATCGCCATCCCACTCCCCACTCTTTGGCTAAACTCCTTCCGTGTCAATTTCCCCTCGCCGGCACCAACTAGAATCCATGCTGCGGCTGCGAGGAGGCTGATGAGCAGGAGGATACCCATTACTAACAGTACACGCGGGCGGGAGAGTGTGTATGTGAGATGGAGCGTTGGGGTTTGTTGTTGTTGGGGGCGGGAGGTATTGCGGCGGGCCCAAGATATCCAAGTGTAGTTCTTCCGTCCGGTTTGGGGGGTTTTGTATAGGGACAATAGGTCGTCTTCGGAGGGAGTTGCAAGGTGTCTGTTCTGACTCGAACGAAGTGCAGGATGAACATCGCGGTCGTCCTTGCTATTGCCGTTGCCGTTACCCTGATCCCATGTACTTCTTCTTTCAACATGTATCCCACTCAACGTCCTCGCGCTAAACGTTCTCCGGAACCAATTACCCGCCAACTCTCGGTTCGCAGCCCTCAGCGCCAAAGCGAAAGCTTCGTCGTCGAAGTCGGCGGAGCGCTCTTTCCTTTTCATTTTAGAACTGTGATCCATCCTCTTTTCGCTGTTGCAGTTGCTGATGCTGCTCTTGGTATAACTGTGTTTCGGCGTCCAAGACGAGGCGTACGTTGGAATAACGACTCGGGCCAACTCCCCTTCTCTTCCTGGCGATAGCCCAGCCTGCTCTTCATCCGCGTTACCACACGTACACGCACATCTCCCCCTCCCCATACCCCACGTCCACCTCCTCAACCCAACCATCACAACAACACCACTCTCCTCCATACTCACACCCCCCCTCTCCCCTCCACCTCCCCGCCCCCTCTCCTCAGCACTACCCCTCACAACCCCCTGCGCACTCTCATTCCTCTCCCTCCGACTCCTCATATCACATTCCTCCCCATTTGCATTCCCCGTCATAAGCCCCAGAACCTCCTTCCCCTTCCGATCATCATAAGGACTCTTCGGCTCATCTCCAAACGGAAACGCACTCGTACAGCACGAGTTCAACCGCGTGTAATCCTCCGTCGTGCGGTTTGAAAGCGAGAAGTTGAGGGCCGAGAGATGGGAATCTAGGATACTGGCGTGTTTTTGCGGGATGTAGCTAGCCTTTGGGATGAGGAGGTCATGACCTGTGCTAGTGGTTGCGGTGTTGGGGATGGAGAAGGGGTTGGGGGGTTTGAGGGCTGGGGAGTAGATTTGTGCGGTGCGGTGGCGGCTGGCTCTGTCGTCTTGGTCTTCGCCGGTTGATAGAGGGGACAGCGTGACGTGTCGGTTTGCGGAGAAAGAGGTGGATTTGGGCCAGGAGGTTGTGGAGGCGGAGTGCAGGTATGTGCGACCTGCTGCGTTTGCCATGTCGCTACTGACTCGAGGGTCTATACTACGCGGGTCTGAACTCAGAGCTTCGAGGGCGCGCATGGTCATGACGTGGGCGTTGATGATGGAGTCTGCGAGGACGCTGTCTGATGTGCTGTTTGACGACGCGGTCCTCCTGTGCTCTCTGCGGAACGTCGGACTTTGCGGTAGCGCGGTGAGTGTATCCTCTAGAGGTCCTGATGCAGAGAACGGTGCTGAATTGGCCGATGCCATGAGCGGAGAGTTCGGCAAAGACAAGGTGCTGCGTAGCGAATGTCTCGGCGAGTCGATGCTGGATCTGATAGACCTGTTGTCCACCAGGCGCACATTATCCTTGTTCAGACGTGTCAGAGACATCTTTCGCGCGTGATTCGTTCCTCGACCAGAAGCTCGCTCGTCACCGGTTCCACTATCGTCAGTTCCAGAGCCAGAGACATCTGCAAGATCTGCGAGTCTGGGCAGCGAGGTGATGGTGCTGCGTTGCCTGTTCCTTCCGCGCTGCGCATTCTCAGTGTCGGCGTGGATGTCGTACGGAATGTCTCTCAGACCCGGCCCTTCGCTTGTAATCGGACTCTGTATCGTTTTGCTCATCCTGTCCTCCCATTCTGATTCCGAAGAGAAATCGTCGAAGAAGTCGGCACGGTGACCTAGCGCTTTCTGCATCGTTTCGCTGACGTCGGGATAGACTGATATTCGTCTCCTTTGTAAAGCTTCGACAACGCGCGGATATGCTGCCAGCGTAGGAGACAGTCTTTCGAAGGGGTGTTCGAGAAAGATGGGATGAGCCTTGTCTGATTCAGCGGTAGAAGACACGGGGTGCTGGTTAAGAGGCGAGAACTTTGGCGCAACAGATCTCGAGATCGATGGTGTGCGGGTTCGCGCAGTCTCCATTGTCATATCTCTCAACACCTCGATTCATCACCGAGGTAAGCCAATCTCCACACGTCATCAGGACATCCCGTCCACCTCTTAATAGTATCGACACGATAATCCCTGAAACACATACAGTACGAATACGGGAGATATAGACGAGGACAAAGGCGAAGCAAGGCATATTGACGCGGGGGGTGGTGGCGACTACCGGAGGATTGTATAGCAAACAAAGGCGGTATGCACCTGGTACTGCATGTCCACATCCGGCGCCTTACCAGGTCCATGACAGCGGTAGCGATCGCAAGGCTTTTGTCATCTTGGCCGGCTTTTGGTTGGGCGGGAAGAGTGGACTGCGGATGCAACCGCATTCCGATGGGCCCTGGCTTGCACAGACCTCATGGCCGCCCAAAACCGGTACTTTGGACGTAGGAAAGATGGGTATGTGAGAACAGTATCTATTGGCGAGTGGGACGAAGGGTGGAGTTCGCCCAGAAAGCCCCTTGCTCTATATCTAAGCGCGGAGGCGAAAACTAACAACGCCATATGCAATGCCACCAAATCGTTCGTGATCAACATGAGATGGACATGGAGTATGAAAGAAAAGCGAATCCGAAAAAGTTGAGGACTTTGGCGAGTCCCTTACTCGCCGTCGCGGTCGAACATCTTCGTCATCGCCTTTTGCGCAAGCTCTACACCGGCAAAGGTGGCTGCGTTGGCAGGCACTGCTCGTGCCATGGCTGGACCAATACCAGGGAAGAAAGCCTTGAGACCGCCGCTCGCGTGGATGCCCTTGATGGTTCCGCTGATTGTTGGTCGGCCTTCGGCACTTTGCAACCGCGACTTAATGGTGTCGACTGGGAAGACGGGTATCCACATGGCGATACCGGCAGCACCACCAGCAACCATGACGGCGCCCATACTCAGCGACCCCGGCTGACCGGTGACAGGGTCTTTTGGCGTGAGACTGCGCTTGACGGTCTCGTATGTCGCAAAGTAGAGGGCTGATCCAGGGCCGTCACGCGCCAGTGTCATGGCAGAGCCGCGGTATACTGACTTGATGCCGCCCTCCTTGTATAGCTGCTTGACCACATCCATGCCACCAGCGTATTTTGGCTTCTCGCCAGGCGCCAGGTTCTTTTGTCCCTGAATCTGTAGGAGCACCTTCACGCGCTCGAAGGGTGCGGTGATGATAGTCATCGGAATGGCGCTGAAGAAACCGGCGGCGGAGACTTGTGCGACGCTGAACTGGTTGTTCTCGACCTTGGATACGCTGGATACGAGTTGCTTGCCGAGATCATAGCCCCAGAAGGACACCGCGACTGTCGATTGTCAGCCTAGGTTATTCATATACTGGTCCTCCTGTACTCACACATGGGTGTTACACCAACAAGCGGCGCAGAAACACCTGCATACAGCCCCCTGGCCAGTCCTTCCTTTGCGATGGTTTTCCGCACAACGTCCATAGCCCCGCTGTAGACGCCCTTCTCTGCCGTCTGCATGCGCACCTTGACCAGATCAAAGGGATGGCCAACCACAACAGCAAACACTCCACCCACACCTCCCGCTAACAGCGCCCGCAGCGACTGCAGCGAAGACTTGGACGCTGCCTTGACATCTTCTTTTAGCTCCGCCGTGTTGGGCAGCTTCTCAATGACCGAGTCCGCCGTGTTTGACATGGTGGGAGCTGTAGTGGGGTTGCGTGGGATGCACAGGCGCGCGTGTAATCCGGATAGAGGCAGCAGAAGCAGATACAAAGACCAAAGAAGCCGTCTAGAGCAAGAGGATACCTACGCGACTGCTCCCACAATGCGATGAAGAGCGAAAATGCGTGGCTGATGTGGGCGAGAGCGGATTTGGGTTTCGCATGTGCAAGCTCCAGTGCTCCGGAGAGCTGGTGCTGGGCCTACGTCGGTCCAGCGTTCGGCTGTCCATATGCCGAGGCTGATCGGCGCCGAACAACCGCGCACCTCGTGTGAAAGCCATTGACTGAAGAACGTCATGTGAGGGGTGTGAAGCGCCAAGTTCATCGGGAAGATGTCGTTTGGTTCGCACGAAGGAAGAAGACGAATGGAAGGAGCCTTGAAAGTACGGAAGGAGCGATATGGCTTCACATACAGAAAGCTTGATCCTCCGGTCGAACGGCGAAAGACATACACCATCGCAGCCAGTGGATGCGCGATGCTGGTATGATCTGTCACGTATTCTGCTATCCTCGTTGCACTCAGAGACATCTACGCGTATTATCAGTCTCGCTATACCAAACTTTTACATCCCAATCTTCCCTTAACATGTCTAATCGGTTCCTGCATCACACTCGCGCCTGACATCAAAGCGCGAGAGAAAACACGTAACAATCATAATCTTCATCACCCGCCCGACAGTCAAGCGCACGAGATCCTTCTTCTAAGCAAACTTTCTCGTCTATATATGACATACTACCTCACTTGCAATTCTCTTCCATCCACATCAACTACCATCATCAACACACATCTCTGGGGTGTGCATCACACCAGCGCTACAACCTGGACCGTGGGTCGCCCAAAGGGTTTACACGGGAAGAACGGTTCGTAGCGGGAGGCTCTTAAAAGGGCCGGTTGGCAGAGCGGTGGGGCTGTTCAACACTGGGGAGGGTGAGATATGGCTTTATCTTCTCCTTCCCCCTTTCCCCTTTTCCACCTGTTCCACAGAACATTTGGGACGGGGAGCTGACACAACACAGGTGTATGGCGACTACCCATAGAGGAGTCGTTGCGTACGAGGTCCGATGTCGAAGAGAAGAGAAGAGATTCCGGCACGAGACAAGAGAGACACAGATGGAGATGTGTGCCGGCGTTGTGTCAAACCCGTAAGAAGACGAAACGGGTGTACACGGTAGGAAAGATATTATAGGGACGCTCTTGACCGGGCGGGTTGGTAGAGAGGTGGGGCTGCCGACGGGAGTGCGAGGTATGTTCCCTTTTGCCCTACCTTTTCCCTTGTCCTCTCTCCGGCCGAGACATACGATGAATTGCTAACATCACCAAGCTTCCCAGAGAGGAACGCTGCAGCTCATGGTGATTCTCAAAAAAGAATCACACCGAACGGGATAGCCCTCAGAGAACGGCATCGCAGAGTGGCGACGGATTCTCCAAAGAGAGAATAGTTTTACCTGGGCGCCCAGGTCGAAGGGGTCTGTATCAGACCAGTAACCTCGAGAGGGGTCTCGTCTCAGTCCGCTTGTTGCGACACTGCGCATACATCTCTGGTGGTTTCCAACGCCACTCATGGGAGGATGCGTCAAGACAAGAAGGCTGGAATGAGACCCCTCTCGAGGTTGGGGCTTCTTAACGGGAGCGGTTGGGGGAGCGGAGGGACCCTCGACATACACATGTCTTTTCGTTGGCTTCAACTCGGCTTGGCTGGGGGGTCGAAGAAGAGATGGTCTCACGATGGGGGTGTGGATTCTCGACAAGTAGGCTGATGTGCGCATGCACTCAGAAAGCAATGCAAATCCGGTCGAAAGCTGCTTTCAACCTTTCACTATCACAACATCCCAGCGCCTTTACCCCACCAACTTCACTGTACACACACCAAGCATCAGCGCCTCCACACCACCGCCTTCACTGTAAACACACCAGGCAACAGCCCCACAGCCTCCTTCCCCCCTCCCCTCTCCTCCTATCATCTATATATTCCCCCCCTCCCCCACCCACTCCCTCTCTTCCCCTCTCCAAACTGGCGTCTGCAACAGACCAGTCCCTCGGGACGGAACTCCATACGCGTGTGATCCGACAGATTATCACGTGTCACCAGGAAAGTTTACGACCGGCCGGCGTAGCTTTCCAACGATGATGCAGATCGTCTGTCAGACGAGCGCGTGGGAGTCTGATTTCGAGGGGGGGGGCTTCTTAACGGGAGCGGTTGGGGGAGTGGTGGGACCCCCAACACGTGTGTGGTGGATATATGGGTTCTTTTCGTTGGTTACCTTGGCGAGTCTGGGGTGCTGAAGAAGGGGTTGTTTGGCGATGCAGACTGAAGTGATTACACCACATTGCTACTAACTAGACTTGCGTGTGTTAAAGAGCGACAAACCGTGCTTAGAAACAATGTCATTGCATGCATAATGCAATCAGAGTACATTTTCTAACACCGACAGCGCATAGTATGCGACAGATCATTTCACAACCCAACTACCTTGTCTACTTTGAATTACAGATCTTTGAGCACGCATGATCAAATTCATCATTAACATATATATATATACTAAGTACCTACTGTGCGAGAACACTCCTTCTACGCTCTCTGCTACATGAGCCTCCCCACTGTCACTTCACCCGACGTACCTAGGTATTCTTCCTACTACTCTGTTCACTACTACCGATACTTCGCGCCTCTTCCTCTGTTCAAGCGATAGACATAACCTGACCAGCATACCTACCTGACAGACCTCGCCGGAGGTTTTCGACCCTCCAAAACCCCATCCCATGCCATCCTTTCGATAGCTACACGCAAACAGATGGCACTGGTGTAGTTTAATCTGATGGCTTGAGACGGTTTAGGTGGGCACCGAGGCTGATTCCGAGATAACCTTGATGGAGGTGGGGCTTTCCTTAACGGGGGCGGTTGGGGGAGCGGTGGGATCCTCGACGTGTGTGGGTGTGTGGGTTCTTTTTCTTTTCGTTGGCTTCCTTGGCTTGTCTGGGGGGTTGAAGAAGGGAGGAGAGATTACGTAGGTATGCGAGGAGAAATGATATATGTGGGTATCTACGACGTAGTCACTAAATTTAAGCCCGTGGTGTCGTCGATGCAGC